GTTAAACCCCATTTCATTTCATTTCATTTTATTACTGTAATGACTTTAATTGACAAAAGTTCTTATTTTAATGAAAATGAATATGGAAAAAAACAGTATGTACAAGCTCTGTTGATAAGATATGAATTTATAGGCTTGAATCAGCATACAATAGGTATGTAAAAACATATATACAAAGTCATTTTAAAATTTAATAAAACATGTTGATTTTGATTTTATAATTATACTAAATCGTTCATGGACTAAAGTGTACAAAATATGCATATTATAATCCGATGGAATAACTTCATTTTAAAAATATCAGAAATTAAGAGAAAAAAAAATCACTAAACTTCAGCCGATCATAAGGGACAGATACAAAAAAAAACCTGATGTAAGAGTTATTAACTATGTGAGAATGTAGCATTCAACTGAGGATAAAATCCATGCTCCCATATATTGCTTTAATTTTAGTAATGCCAGGTTAAAGGTGTACAAAGAATTGGGGATAGAAAATCATTTTAAAGAAAAGGAAAAAATAATAATACTTTTAAAACAAATATTTGTTGATGTAATAATGAAAATATATATATTTATTTTTTTTATTGAGAATGTATTGATTATTATCTTTGTAACAATATATAGTTTTTACATTCAACATTCTTCTTCATCATCATGATGATGATGATCATCATCATCATCCATAGCCATCTCTGTGGGTGTAGGTGTGGAATTTTGACAGTCTTTACATCCACATAGATCTGTACAGGAAAAGGCAGCAACTTTACAGGAACATCTTTTTGATTCACCTTTGAAGCTTCTTCCTTTGTTCCTAAAGAAAATAGGAAATATGATAGAAAAAACATAATTGTATGTCACATGTGTGAATTTTTTTTTGAGCAATGCAATCTCTAAATGAAATCAGAATCTAAAATTGCTTATTTAAATAGCATTTCCGCCTGAAGGATCAATAATCTTTGCAGATCTTTTTACGGCTTAGACTAATTGCCTTTGATTTTTCTGTAAAGGCTATTCTAAACTATGCTCCCACAAGACGGCAGGTTTTATTTTAGACCAATCACCGACGGAATATAAATTTGACAAAGTTCCATGGAACCTGACTAAAATGATTCTAATAAGAATGTAATTTTAAATATTATGTGCTGTACTCCATATTTCTAATATTACTTTATTGAAAATGATATTTCATAACCCTTGACATTGTAATTAATGACTAATGTAATTTGTTAGTTATGGTTCATAAAAATGTTTTGCCCTTCACCAGTTTAGGCTTCAGTTTTGTTTTAAAACTTGAAAGTTTGCCCACCACTGGTTTGCGTGATACCATGTATTGTGAACAAGTACTTTATATATTTTTTAACAACAACCAACGTGAACACTCACAGCCTAGAAAAAATATAAATACTAAGACTAAGAAAATAATAATAATAAAATAACTAATAATAACATACATACAAACATACCTTCGAACACACCTCGATACGTGATTGCAATGTTTTTTTCTTCTCCATCCAAAGTCTGCCACTGTTTTGAATATTCCACACAATGCCTCCAGGTGTTGCCGTTAAAAACCAGTAACTTGCAGGGCTGTGTTGCATTCTGATGAATAAGGCACTTCATTTTTCTGGTCAAAATGCCAGAAAAATGTGTCCCTGTTGACTATAATATCCGCCATGATTGAAGGATCGGGGCTAAACGTTTTCTTTATTTTGATTGGCCAAAATTGCACTCGGCAATAAACTTCGCGTGTATTCCGACGCGTGTAATGTTTATTTTTTAGGTGATTAGGTTAAAAAGAATTCCATTTTTAAAAAAGAATTATTAAATACTGGCACATGCCGAATGTGTGGAGATCATGGTTTTTAAATTAGAACAAAGAGACGTGTAATTTAAAAAATTAAAATCTCCCACAGAGGTTGTTGCAACGAACTTGAACGATAAATTTCTTCGGTCTTTCGCCTATGACATAATTTTAACAAAAACTATAATTTTGAAAGCTAATATTATATTTTCAAAATTCGATATTACCAAAAGAATGCACCATGCAAAGCACACAAAACATCAGACTCAGTTTTTTAAATTTCGATTTTGTTTTCGGGTTATTTCGATTTAAAGGTGGTATAATTAAGCTATTTACAACCCGTTCAGCGTCTTCATATTTAAAAATATATCTGCGTAACTTTCATAAACTCGTAGCAATAATCCATACGAAGAGAATATATGTGAAAATTAGTTTGTGATCACGTTATTTTGCCTGTAAAGGAGTCAATTATTATTCTACTTTCAAATTTCTTTTATCATTTGATGCCTTATGCCAATTTTGACTAGGTCAAACCAATTTAACATTTTCACTGTCACCGGAAATGACATCATTTGGGCAAAAACTGTATTTTTAACCTTAAAATCAGATATTTTATTCAAATGATTCTTATTTGGAATCTTTTTACAATTATGATATTTGATTCAAATCAACAAATAGAATAAACCCATACGATCATACAGATACCACAAAATGGTTTCTAATTTTGATGGTTGCAGAGAAATAGACGATTGCCTGCAAGTCACTTTTCATGGTTTTTGGTCCATAAAAGTGTTGATTATTATCCGATTTTCATAAAATTTTCATCATGTGATGCCTTATGCCATTTATGATTTCATTGAACTAATTTAACATTTTTATTATCACTGAAAGTAATGTCATTTTGGCATAAACTGTATTTTTAACCTTCAAAACAAACATTTTTAACCTTCAAAACAAACATTTTTTTTAAGTGAGTTCTATTTATTATCCCTTTAACATTATGAGTAGGACGTTAAACCCCATTTCATTTCATTTCATTTCATTTCCTTTAACATTATGATATTTGACTCCAATGGACATATAGATTGAATCAATACGGTCATATAGATGTCCAAAAATTGGTTCTAGCATCTTCCCTTGTCGAGAAATAACCCATTTAGTCAGGATCACATTTAAGGATTTTGTTTTTTCGCATTTTAATTTCCCATTAGAAATTCAGCTAACATAACGGTAAGTTAGTATCACTGTTTTGACATATGTAACACATGGTAACAAATGTATAAATGGAATTGATATTGCTGGGTTTGATTCTGCGTCCATTTTATAACACGTCTGTAATGTTTATGTGGAAATATGTTTCTCGGTTCCATTTGTACCGGAAGTGACATAAGTTTAAGGGTAACGTGGCCTCGGAAGTGACATAAGTTCAAGGATAACGTGGCACCAGTGAAACCCGTCATTACTGCATCGGATTTCTTATCCTTATTAGGGTTTCTTACTGCGTAGCTTGTGTGAAACACTATTGTTTTTGTTAGGATTATTATTCTTATTACTTTTTTTTTCATTTTGATCATATCTCAGAAACTACTTGTCGGATTGATCCAATTTCTTCGGTTTCACTGGAAAAGTGGGTGTCACTTAGAGATTAAAGATATGTCGAACTTTCTGCGAAAATGCGGAATGTCTGTAATCACTGAAGTTGTCGTTTTTTGAAATAATGCCGTAATATTAACAACAATTGTTGGATTTTTACGTTTGATAGATTTTGACATAGCCAGAGACATGGCACATAGCTACGGTTCTTTAGATTTTTGAATTTCGACGAATCTTCGGAAATATTAGGTGCCAAATTTTGAAAAAATTTGATGGCCTGTTACTCAGGCTTAAAGAGTCGTCTGATTTGAGAAAAAATGTGAACATTTTTGGTCTCAATAATTTTCCTGTGCGCTATTGGCTAATTCAGTTTATCGGTTCTATCTAGATAAATTATTTATTACCCGATTTGTATAAAACGAAGTTCATATGCTCCGTGGTCCAAAAAGACAATTTTCTACAAATGACTTTTCAAGGTTTTTTGTCTATAAAAGTGTCAATTATTATTCGATTTTAATAAAATTTTCACCATGTGATGCCTTAGACCGTTTCTGATTTCATAAAACTAATGTAACATTTTCAATCTCACCGAAAGTACGGTAAGTCAGTCAATCAAGGCAGATTAAGTAGTTAATCAAGGTAGGTGTATAGGCGGTATAACACGATAAATACGTCAATCACTTAATTACCTATGCAATTCAGCCTATTATCAACGATTATCAGGTTGAGTGGTAGTTATATACTCAGTACACTATATTAATTCTGGAATTTTGAATATTATTCACCATGTCTTTATGACAATTTAGGACGTTTGGAAAATAGTGTCAGACATGTCCAGAATACACAGGCGAAATCCAATCACTGATTTTGAATTTTTGCTACACATTTGACTTAGTTTTGGTATATAATTATTATTCTAGAGCATATTTCAGAAAATGTTCAAGATACCTTTATAACACTTCTACATTCATCAACATATTATTTTCTGATGACTTTCCTTTTGTCCCGATTTTGTTTCCGGAGCATATTTCATTATCCATTCGGGGGTGGGGGTTGGGGTGGATGGCCGAATGGTTAGCACGTGGGGGCTGTATCATAAGGTCTCATTGAGTCAACTGACAGGGGTTTCGATTCCCCGGTTGAACATGACAAGGAGTATGGTCGCCTGTCCAACCTCGTGGGTTTTCTCCGGGTCCTCTGGTTTCCTCCCTTCAAGAAATCTTTTTGAAACTTTGTACAAACATCAACCACCTGTGCCTTGCTGAGCTACCGTGATCAGATTATGAATCTTCTGACTAGTCCCATTGATATTCCAAGAAATTATTTTTCCTTATGCCTTCCAAACAAGTGCAAGGGTGTGGGATGGTGATGACTTGTTATGTTTCTTTTATAGTTTAAATAAAAAAGAAAAATAGATGCACCTAGATAATGTCTTAGCAAAAGTTGTGCATTATGTATGGATTAGCAGAAAATAAGTTAACTTGTGTTTATTAATGCTAATAATAGGGAATGCGTGCCTCAAACACGAAGGCCTGAACTGTATTTAGCTGAGAAAAATGTATGTATTATTGACAGATTTGTTATATTGTGTATTTATTTTGTTTAGATATTGGAGACCAAGGGCAAGAGATAGCCCAACGTTTGATTTGAAGTATTTAACATTTGGTTTTGCATTTTTACAAGACATGGTTGATCATGCTATAATAGGACTACAAACAGGTCAAGAGGGTCAAATAGGTGTAATGTTACAACAGTTTCCATATCCATGTTATATTAATGACAGGTATAACTACCATATTTTAAATAGTTTGTGTTACATAATTTCAATGACAAAATGACTTTAAGCCAATACAATATGATCGAATACAATGGTGATGTCAGAATCATTTTGATGTCATCTGTACAGTTACCGTGTAGTCATTCCTGATACTACCCAAGCCTAGCAAAAGTGAAATGTCAATTTAAAGCAGTGAATAAATATATTATGTTCATGTCAGTTGTAAGTAAAACATATAGTCTGGAGGCTCAGCGCGGGGGGGTCTCCATCAAATGGGCACAAAACCAGACCCAACTTTTCTAGAGTAAAATTTTGCGTAGAATACGATGCCGAGTGGTAATCAGTCCGCCGTTGGGGCGAGTTCGAGAAATTCGGGGTCAAAGGTCAAATGGGTTCATTTGCACTGAAAGTGAATGCGCGGTCATTCTTGTATCATGAAAATAAGCTGAAAATGATCGAAAGTAATCAAACTTTCAATAAAAATGTAAACTTTGCGTAGAATACGATGCCGAGTGGTAATCAGTCCGCCGTTGGGGCGTTTTCAAGATATTCTGGGTCAAATGAGTTCATTTGCACTGAAAGTGAATGCGCATTCATTCTTGTATTATGAAAAGAAGGTGGAAATGATCGAAAGTAATCACATTTTCAATAAAAATGTAAACTTGCTAAATTCACCTTTGTTCTTTGTGACCCCAGAGGTCAAAAGGTCACATTTTCCGTTTTAGCACTAGGAAGATTTAAAGTAATAATTGTCGGCATAAAATATAAAAACTAAAGCGAAACCTGTTCTAATTAATAATAGGAATATTTAAAATTTATCTTTAGGTGGTCTTAGCACCAAACTTTTACTTTGAAACGTCGAAAATGATCATGCATAACAGAACCAAAATGCTTCGGAGCCTGTTTCAAAACTGTTAAATCAAAATTTCCCCGAATTAGTTTTACAACGAATGCTATACATAATGATACTAGTTGTCTGAAAAAAACAATTAAATAGTTCCATGGCTGGACTTCAGCCTGCAGGCCGCGTCACAAAGCCTGCCAAAATTTTCCCCGCTAACATTTACCAATACGACATATATATCCTGTGAACTACTATGTACAATGCATTCGTCGGTTTTATCTGCGTCCATGTTCCAGCGAAATTCATAAAAAGTTTGCAAGCTATTAATCTCGTCGCCAGATGCGTGTTTTCCTGTCACAGATTAACGTCGGTTTTCCTAGACTAGGATTCTCTGAAATCCACGCGGCCTGCAACTATTCAATTGTTTTTCAGATAACTAGTATCATTTTGTATAACAATCGTTGTGAAAATAAATCGGAGAGATTTCGATTTGACAGTTTTTTACGTATTTTTGAAACAAGTTTCAAAATGTGTTGGTTCTGCTATGCAAGATCATTTTCGACGTTCCAAAGTAAAAGTTTGGTGCTAAGGCAACCTAAAGATAAATTTGAAATGTTCCTATTATTAATTAGAACAGGTTTCGCTTTAGTTTTTATATTTTCTGCCGACAATTATTACTTTAACTCTTCCTAGTGCTAAAACGGAAAATGTGACCTTTTGACCTCTGGGGTCACAAAGAACAAAGGTGAATTTAGCAAGTTTACATTTTTATTGAAAGTGTGATTACTTTCGATCATTTCCACCTTCTTTTCATAATACAAGAATGACTGCGCATTCACTTTCAGTGCAAATAAACTCATTTGACCTTTGACCCAGAATATCTTGAAAACGCCCCAACGGCGGACTGATTACCACTCGGCATTGTATTCTACGCAAAATTTTACTCTAGAAAAGTTGGGTCTGGTTTTGTGCCCATTTGATGGACACCCCCCCCGCGCTGGGCCTCCGGTCTAATACATTATGTCAGAGCTAAATCTGCCTATTACAGGCCTTTCTTTAGTCCTGAAATGTTATATAAACTATTAATTAGACATTTATTAACATGACAAGACCATATGCAACTTTCGAGGCCATCTGATGGCCCGGATGTTCATTAGATTTGAATCCGATCTGCCGTTCAATGGCTGCTGATGATTAACCGCAAAAATGGATAAACAAGATTTTGTTTATTATTATGGTAACAATGGTAACAAAGACAATCAAGGCTACAGTGTTATTAAAATGAGTATTTATTGGCTCAGAGTGAAGTAATTTGATTGAAATTTTCAGCATATTCCTGTTACATTATCTATTTTTTAACTGTTATAATGAGAACTGTGACCCCTTTATCTAATCTTCAATAATGCCGCTTTAAATCTTCATGTTGTGCATGACAAAGTTGTCATGATTCACTGCCTAACCTCATGTGTTTTCTCCAGATTATCTACATTTTATCCCATGGATATGAGAGCCCTATTTACAGGAGAATTAAGGAAATAAAGATATAATACATGTTAGTCCTAAAATGTCCTAGTTTTGTTGTTAAATCCTATGTCTCTCGTGATTAGATGGTATCCTCCATAATTGTTAATGTAAATTGTAATGTTTTGTTTTTAAAGATACAAGTATTTTTTTATTCCTATAATATTTTCAGATTCGTGTATACAATCTCTAGAATGATGCCTCTCTTTATGATATTAAGTTGGATTTATACAGTAGCTATGATTGTCAAGGGTGTTGTACATGAAAAGGAACAGAGACTAAAAGAAGTAATGAAGATGATGGGACTGGGTAATGCTGTACATTGGATAGCTTGGTTTATTAATGCATTTGTTATGATGTTTTTGACCATATTACTGTTACTTCTGATATTAAAGGTTTGTAATATATATATATGGATATTAAATAAGTACATTATTATGTATACCATTCAGACACAAAAAAATACTGCATTGTGTCAAATTTTCCTACTTATTTTATACACCCACACACTGAGAACTACTAAGGGGTTAATCTCTGCATGGATCGTATATAAATCTCTGTCTGTGTTGTTATTTGTACATCCATCGAAAGAAAATTAATTTCCTGATTATTACTCAGCATTATCGCATTTATATACAACATCAATGTTGATTAAAATTGACAACTAATTCATGTTTTCAATGTCGAATGTTTTGGATGATATTGAGTTAGAGACTTAGCTACTTTAACATACACTGGTTACCTCTAATAAAAACAGCAGTGCATTTCTGCAGTTTTGTATTGTTTCTGAATATCCCCTACTTTTTTTGAAGAGTATATATTACTGCTTTATTACTAAAAAGACGCGCATCGACTGTTTCACATTTATTAAAATTATAAAAACGATACGTAAATTGTGCATCTTGCCTTCAATAGAAATATCCATAAAACAGAAATTTCCATATTGATAAATAATACGACACAACCAACTGAAAAGTGGTAATTCCCACACAAATGATATGTTTAAACTAAAATTACTTTAACCTTTCACTAAATTTAAATCAATTACAATTGAACGATCCTCATTGCAGTACATTTATCTTATAAGTTATAATGTAGCTGTTTTCATACAATAACAGATCAAAGAAACACATGTGCCCGAATTCACACGTAATCATTTTCGAGACTTGTTGTCTTCTATTCTTAGACTACCTGGCGGCTCAAATAACCCAACCAGATCAGAAAGCATGCATTCCCACCTTACAATGAGTTCAATTGATTTAAGGTTTATTTTATAATGCAGTTTAGACTGTGATGACCTGTCTGTGATATCACCTTATGAGTCGCATTTTGAAATTTAAGTAGATTCTTATACGGAATTCAGGGTGCATTGATAGACATTTGAACTGATTTGAAAATGAGAATTACTTTCCTTATCGGGGGGTAATTTTTCTTTACGTGTGTCGCGGGTCTGTTTTGGGATGTGTATTATTTTCATATTTGTCCATGATAATTAATGGATACATAATAGGATTATTATTAAGGATATTTAACATCTACAATATGAATAAGGTAAGCACTCTCTGGGTAATGTGTTCATATGTTAGACCATGCATCTCTCTTTATTTTGCGAAAACTGGGTATTCCGTCAATCTGTGTAATCCAACATATTGTAACAATCCCGTACGATGTTGGATGTGACAGAGTGCACTGTAGATGATATAATTACTTGGAATGTTCAAACTTGGTGTAGGTGTTTATTATTAGGTCAATGCCTTGATGGAGTTCGAAGATGAGCATTTTCTGCTTAGGGTAAGCAGAGATAAGCAATTTGATTGGTTTATGCTTTTGGACACAATAACTTTAGTTCTAATTAAGTGAGAGTGATGAAACTTGGTGTATAGCTTCATTACATCAATACCTTGACTAAGTTCGATAATGAGCATTTTCTGCTCAGGGTACGCAGAGCGATAAGCAATTTAATTGGTTGAGACTTTGGAACACAATAACTCTCATTCTAATTGAGTTAGAATGTTCACACCACTTGGCATAGGTGAGTTCAATGATTAACATTTCGAGCTGAAGCTAAGCAGAGCTAATCAATTTCATTGGTCAATGCTTTGGGAAAAGATAATCTTGATTCTATTTCTTCATTACAGATGGCATCTGAAACAATAAAATAGAATAACGTCAACTCGACACAAACTGGGTCATTTCGGGACTAACATATCATTCAATTTTATTTCAATGATTTGCTTGTCTGGGGGGACTTTAGCAGTGGTAGGAAACCGGAGGACCTAGAGAAAACCCACAAGGTCACGTACAACCAGGGAATCAAACCACGCCAGTTGACTCAATGGCAGACTTTATGATACAGTGCGCACGTGCTAACCATTCAACCATCCAACCCCTGTAACTTGTCGTAAGACGAGATTAAGTATATTTACGAGAATAAGTATATTTATGTGAATCAGTATATTTATGGAAAATTTGGCTTATTTGCTATATAGCCGGGGATATTCAAATTGGGGCCTACCTATTTGATATTTATAAATGACAAATGTGAAACGGTCGCTGCGCGTCTTTTTAGTAATAAAGCAGTAATATATTTCGGTTGTAGAATAAATAGTTTTTGCTGGATTTACTCTCTATACTTCCCGGATTTCGATTTAACACGCACGTTTTTATAATTTTATTAAGTGTGAAACGGTCAATTTGAGTCTTTTTAGTTTTAGTAATAAAGCATATTTCGGTTGTAGAAAAAATAGTTTTTGCTGGATTTACTCTCTATACTTCCCGGATTTTGTTTAACATGCACGTCTCAGATAAAGCCTGTTGGTCCTTGATTATACGGCTCACGGTGGCAAAGTGGGTAAGACGCTGGCTCGCTAGCCTGGTGGTCGGGTGTTCGATCCCTGCTTTGGCCGAGAAAGTTCATCTAGATTTTCTGGCGTGGTTCCCCCTTGTCAGTGATGCAGGATGGATGGCCTGACAGCTGTCTAGTCGTTCGGATGGTACGAAAAATCGAGGTCCTGTGTACACATTGGCGTGCAGGTAAAAGTTCCCTTGACAGTTGGAATTCGATATAAGAGTAGGTCGTAGTGCCGCTGTCCGGGCAAAATTTCCCTCATAGCACACTGTATACCGTATGCCCGTCTTCATTAGCCCAGTTCGGAGCAGAACAGTAGGACGTTAAACTCCATTTCATTTCATTTCCTTGATTATACTCCTTATGCTGCAGTTATCTCAACTAGCAAGAAAATACACCAATTAAACAATACATACTATTGAAATTCATTTTTTACCGGTCGGTTAATTAACACACTTCTACAGATATAACGGACCATAGCACAGTTTTTCACCCCTAGTGTTGATTAGCTCACCTCTCACCCTTGTCAATTAATGCACCTTATTGCCAAGTAATAATCGGAAAATTAATAACAACCCAGACAGATTTATATACAGTCCATGCATAGATTAACCCCTTAGTAGTTCTCAGTGACATGAGCCTGAAGTAAAACTTGTTGAATGCATTGTTTATATTAGTAAGTCAAAGATTCCTATCTAAATGCTCAGATTTCTTAGTTAGTATCCTTGATTGTCTGATGGACTTATTCTTTCTACACAGTGATTATGTCCACGTGAAGAAGCAGTTAATTCTCAACGATTTCCAATAAATATTAGCAGCGTTATATTCCTTGTGGATGCTCTAGTTACTACAATTATCAATTTAAATTTAAAAGTGTTGTTATGTTAGTGCCAGGAAGAAGCCTACTAACTGGTTTAAGCTTTCGGATCTGCTTACAAAAGAACTAAGATGATATGAACATCAAATACACTTGTTTAATGTATTTTGAGCTTAGGTAATTTGACACTATAACTTGATTTATCATGGTTATTACAAATAAAAAATAAGTTAAGAAGGTTATCAAATAAACAACACAACCATGTTCAAAGGACTATATTGAATTTTTGTGATATTATTTACAGTTCATGTATTTATTGAATTATTTTTCAGGGAGGAAAAGTACTGGAACATTCAGATCCATCTGTAATATTTGTGTTTTTGTTGGCGTTTACGGTAGCAACCATCATGCTGTGTTTTTTTATAAGTGTGTTATTTTCTAAAGCTAATTTAGCTGCTGTGTGTGGTGGATTTATATATTTTATATTGTATTTACCTTACACATTGGTAACAAGATTTGAAGAAACTATGACAACATCAGAAAAAGCTTTTGCTGTAGGTAGAGTTTTATCAGATATATTTCTACATGTATTCACTTTCGTTTTATCAAGATGTTTCTTCTTTAACATTTTAATCTTAAAGCCAATGATATCATATAATATTTAATGTCAGAGATAGATTAATTTTGAATATCTTTTTAATTATATGCCCACATTTTCAAGTGGATGTATATCGTCGTCGCCCCTGTCTGTCCGGACGTCCGTCTGTCCACAATTGTTTGTGGACACTCTACAGGTCACAATTTTTATCCCATTTCAACAAAACTTGAAATTAGGTTTATCTCCCTAAGATCTCTGTTCCTTTCGACATTGGTATGTATCGGACCGTAACTTCTTGGATTATGGCCCCTATTGTACGAAAAATCATGTTTTTAGCTTGTGGACCCTATAGAGGTCACAATTTTTTATCTGATTTTGTTGAAATTTGAAATGTAAGTTTATAACCCAAAGATCTTGGTTCCTTTCGATATTCGCGCATATCGGACTGTAACTTCCTGAATTATGGCCCCTGCTTATACGAAAAATCACGTTTTTTAGCTTGTGGACCCGATGGAGGTCACAATTTTATTCCGATTTAATGATGGTTGAGTTCGAATTTCGTGAAAATCAGACCAAAACTGCCGAACAAAATGGCCGCTCCTCGAACGCAAACAGTGTAAAAATATGGTATATCAATGTTTTTTAGACCCTCTAGAGGGCACAATTTTTTTCGATTTTGATGCAACCTTAAATTTATGCTTATGTCACAAAGGTCTTCGTTCCTTTCGATATTCGTGCATATCGGATCATAACTTCCTGAATTATGGCCCTTGATGGTATGAAAAATTGCATTTTAACCTTGTGCTCCCTCTAGAGTTAACAATTTTTATCCAATTTTTGTATATATCATCGTTACACCCTAATTGAGTTTATAACCCATAGATCTTGGTTCCTTTCGATATTCACACATATCAGACCGTAACTTCCTGAATTATGGCCCCTGATTGTGCGAAAAATCACGTTCTTTAGCTTGTGGACCCTATGGAGGTCACAATTTTATTCCGATTTAATGATGGTTGAGTTAGAAACTGTCAGACAAAAATGGCCGTCCCTCGTACGCTAATAGTGTAAAAATATGGTATTATAAGGTTGTGGACCCTCTAGAGGTCACAATTTTCACCCGATTTTGATGAAACTTGAAGCGCACGTTTATAACCCAAAGATCTTGGTTGCTGTCTATATTTGCACATATCGAATCGTAACTTCCTGAATTATGGCCCCTGATTGTACAAAAAATTGTGTTTTTAGCTTGTGGTCCCTCAAGAGGTCACAATTATTATCTTGATTTCAAAAACCGTTCGAATATGTCACCGTTGAGATCGAATTTCGTGAAAATCGGACCAAAACTGCCAGACAAAATGGCCGCCCGTCTACACAAATAGTGTAAACATCTAGTATATCAAGGTTGTGGACCCTCTAGAGGTCACAATTTTGATCCGATTTTAATGAAACTTGAAATGCATGTTTATAAGCCAAAGAAATTGGTTACTGTTGATATTCACACATATCTGATCGTACCTTCCTGAGTTATGGCCCTTGATGTTAGGAAAAATTGCCTTTTGTTAAGCTTGTTCTCTATCCATCTCTTGAAAAAATGTGAGCATATCCTGCCTGGCAGCCGCTGGTTTTTGTACGCCTACATTGTCATGGACTTATTATGCTGTTGCTCTGTTGATCGGGACATCCATGTTTCTGTGCGTTCAGACGTCCATTCACAATTCTTTGTGGGCACTCTACAGATCACAAGTTTTATCTGATTTTTTTTCCAGTTATGTTTATTTCCAAAAGTTCTGGGATGTGGTTTGATTTTGTTGTGTATCTGACTAACGTCCTGCTTTACTGCCCCCGATTGTACGAAAGTCAAGTTTTTAGCTTGTTGATTTAGCTATCATGCCTGCCTTTAAACAATGATTTTAATTTCATTTTTCAGTCTCTATCATCATGTGTATCATTTGGTTTTGGTTGTAGTTATATAGCTAGATATGAAGAACAGGGCATAGGCATACAATGGTCTAATATGGCGGATAGTCCATTAACAGATGATGGGTTTAGTATGCAGTATGCAATAGGAATGATGATTATAGATGCTATTATATATGGTTTATTAACAATATATGTAGAGGCTGTATTCCCAGGTAAGTTTTATAATTTAAGCCCATACAATCCAGACTTAAAGGCAAATTACACCGTACACAATATATTGTCATCGCCCCTGTCCGTCTGGATGTCCATCCGGACATCGGTTTATTTGTGGACACTCGACAGGTCACAATTTTTATCCCATTTTGGTGAAACTTGAAATATAGGTCTGTCTCCCAAAGATCTCGGTTCCTTTCGATATTGGCATGTATCTAACCATAACTTAATGTATTATGGCCCCTGATTGTATGAAAAATCACGTTTTTAGCTTGTGGACAATCTAGAGGTCACAATTTTGATCCGATTTTGATGAAACTTGAAAGGCATGGTTATAACCCAAATATCTTGTTTCCTTGCGATATTCGCACATATTGGATCATAAATTCCTGAATTATGGTCCCTGATTGTACCAAAAGTCACGTTTTTAGCTCGTGGTCCCTCTAGAGGTCACAATTTTTATTCAATTTAAAAACACGTTTTAAGATATCACCGTTACACCCTAATGATGGTTGAGTTTGAATTTCGTGGAAATCGGACCAAAACTGCATGAGAAAATGGCCGCCCCTTGAACGCAAACAGTGTAAAAATTTGGTATATCAAGGTGTTAGATCCTCTAGAGGCCACAATTTTTGTCCGATTTTGATGCAACCTTAAATTTATGCTTATATCGCAAAGGTCTTGGTTCCTTTCGATATTCACACATATCAGATCGTAACTTCCTGAATTATGGCCCTTGATGGTATGAAAAATTGCATTTTTATACGCCCACATTTTCATGAGGACATATTATATTGTCGTCGCCCCTGTCCGTCCATTCTTCCACAATTGTTTGTGAACACTCTACAGGTCACAATGTTTATCCGATTTTAATGATACTTGAAATATAGGTTTATCACCCTAAGATCTTGGTTCATTTCGATATTGGCATGTATCGGACGGTAACTTCATGGATTATGACCCCTGATTGTACGTAAAATCACGTTTTTAGCTTGTGAACGCTGTAGAGGTCACAATTTTTATCTGATTTTGTTTAAACTTGAATTGTATGTTTATAACCCACAGATCTCGGTTCCTTTCAATATTCGCGCATATTGGACCATAACTTCCTGAATTATGGCCCCTGATTGTACGAAAAATCACGTTTTTAGCTTGTGGACCCCATAGAGGTCACAATTTTTATCTGATTGAAAAAAAAACATATTATTATATCACCGTTACACCCTAAGAACGGCTGAGTTCGAATTTTGTGAAAATCGGACCAAAACTGACAGACAAAATGGCCACTCCTCAATGTAAATAGTGAAAACATCTGAAAACAACATGTGAATATATCACCGTTACACCCTAAGAATGGTTGAGTTTGAATTTCGTAAAAATGGGACCAAAACTGACAGACAAAATGGCCGCCCCTCGTTCGCAAATAGTGTCAAAATATTGCGTATCAGGGTTGTGGACCCTCTGGAGGTCACAATTTTCGTCTGATTTTTATGAAACTGGAAATGCATGTTTATAACCCACAGATGTCGTTCCCTTTCGATATTTGCGCATATCGGACCATAACTTCCTGAATTATGGCCCCTGATCATATGAATAATCGCGTTTTTAGCTTGTGTACCCCATAGAGGTCACAATTTTTATCCGATTTACAAAACCGTTTTAATATATCACCGTTACACCCTAAGGATGGTTGAGTTCGAATTTTATAAAAATGGCCGCCCCTCGTTCGCAAATACAATAGACTCAAAATATTGTGTATCAGGTTTGTAGATCCTCTGGAGGAGACAATTTTCATCTGATTTTGATGAAATTTGAAATGCATGTTTATACACTCAAATATCTTGGTTCCTCTCTATTTTGGTGCATATGGAATTGTAACTTCCTGAATTATGGCCCCTGATTGTAGGAAAAATCGAATATATCACCGTTACACTGTAATTTTGTCTGAGGTTGAAATTCATGAAAATCGGACCAAAATTGCCAGACAAAATGGCTTCCCCTTGTACGCAAATAGTGTAAACATCTGGTACATCAAAGTTGTGGACCCTCTAGAGGTCACAATTTCGATCAGATTTTGATGAAACTTGAAATGTAAGTTCATAACCCAAGTTCATATCAGAAGCCACAATTTTGATCCGTTTTTGATGAAACTTGAAATGCATGTTTATAACACACAGATCTTGGTTGCTTTCGATATTCATGCATATCAGATAGTAACTTCCTGAATTATGTCCCCTGATTGTACTAAAAATCTTGTTTTTAGCTTGTCCCTCTAGAGGCCAGAATTATTATCTGATTTACAAAAACATGCAAATATATCACCGTTACACCGTAATGTTTGTTGACTTCAAATTTCGTGAAAAACGGGCCAAAACTGCTGGACAAAATGGCCGCCCCTTGTACGCAAATAGTGTAAACATCTGGTAAATCAAGGTTGTGGACCCTGTAGAGGTCACAATGTTGATCCGATTTTGATGAAAGTTGAAATAACTGTTTATAACCCAAAGATCTTGATTCCTTTCGATATTCGCGCATATCGGATTGTATCTTCCTGATTTATGGCCCTTGAATGTACAAAAAATCACGTATTTAGCTTGCGGTCCATATAGAGGTCACAATTTTTATCTGATTTAAAAAAAACTTGTGACTATATCATCACTTTTACACACTTAAGATCAAGGGTTCCATTTGATAATCGCGTATATCCGAACGTAACTTCCTGGATTATGGCTCCTGATTGTTTGAAAAATCGCATTTTTAGCATGCAGATTCTCTAGAGGTCACAATTTTTTTTTTTAATTTTAAAAACCGTTTAAATATATCACCATTCCACCATAATGAAGGTTGAATTTGAATTTCGGGAAAATCGAAATGAAATTGCCCGACAAAATGGCCACTCTTTGTACGCAAATTGTGTATAAGTACAAAGGTTATGGACCCTCTAGAGGTCACAGTTTTTATCCAATTTTGATGAAACTTAAAACATATCTTTATATTCCAAAAATCTCAGTCTCTTTTTGATATTTGTGCATTTCAGACCATAACTTTCTGGATTATGGCCCCTGATTGTACAAAAAATCGTTTTTATTTTTAGCTTGTTCTCTATCCATCTCTTGCAAAATGTGGGCGTATCATGCCTGGCAGCTGCTGGTTGTTTTAATCGTGTAAATTACTAGCTTATAAACACTTTTCAGCTCTTATTTTTATTAAATTTAAATGAAGAAAATGTTTTTTTTTTATTTTTCTGGATTAGTGTGCCTTTAAAGTAGATAATCTATGTTTCTATAATAGAAGATAGATGATGATCATGACAGCCACATGTGTCAACTTACAAATAGATTCTAGGTTGTCCTCTGCATATGCTACCTTTAATTAAAGAATGTGTGACGTTAGTGATGTCATCAATACTACCAGATCTTTCAATATGTCCTCAAACCAAAAACTAACAATGTTTTTAGTGAACCGGTCAAATTTGGTTTTATATCATGATTCTGCCAGTAATGTCACAAACACAGTCTTTAATTTCATGTAGCTTTTGAATACAGATGTACAGAAAGTTTTAAAAGGGTTGATTTTAGCAGCTGTCATCATTATTATATCTATTGTTAGGTAGACCATCTCAATCAAATGATGTATATTGAAGAATTTCTTAGCAATATTTTGTTACATTTAACATTTACTGACAATTTTTGATTGTAATTTTAACCAGTCTAGCTATTATCTGCAACTTTATAAGTTTATGCATGTTTGTTAAATTTCAAAACTGTTAATGAATGTTATGACTATGATTTGATGATTTAATTTTTAGGTCAATACGGTTTACCACGTAAATGGTATTTTCCTATACAGAGGTCATATTGGTGTGGAAAACAGTATAATGTTGATGCTGAATCACCTATGGAAACACTAGACATGGGATGTAAGTCATAAGTTTATATTTTAAAGGCATTAGCGCATTGGATATCTTCGCTGCTTGGTAAACAATTAATTTAGATTTGACATCAGGCAAATCTAATAAACCAACCCTGATATATAAATGTGTCACTTTCAACTTCTAAGTTGTATAAAAAAAAATTGTAATGGTTTACAGGAAGTTGAACACATTCTCATAAATGTTCATTACTCTAATTGTGGTCAGTGCTTTAATGTTTTGATATGACATTATTCAAAATTAATTACATAAGGGGTTGGAGTTGAGGGTGAGAATGCTAATGTCCCCTTAACTGTTATTTTAGAGTGATGTTAATTGCGTAATGTGAGAGTTTAAATGAGAAATGTTTGTATATTTTAGAGTAATGTTAATTGCGTAATGTGAGAGTTTAAATGAGTAATGTTTGTATATTTTAGGTGATAAAGAAAAGATAGAGAGGGAACCAGCAGATAGAAATATAGGCGTAGGAATACGGGGATTAAGAAAAGTTTATTCCCAGGGTAAAAAAGTAGCAGTCGATAGATTGTCTCTCAACTTTTACGAAGGTCAAATTACATCTTTCCTTGGACATAATGGAGCTGGAAAAACAACAACAATGTATGTTTATTTTCTACTTATGATTTATATCTAGCAGAATTCATGATATCAATATAGTTTTGTCACAAATAGGCTGACCATAGCATAATCATTGTCCAAATGATGTACAGCTCTTCTTTCGTGAAGAATTTTTCTTTTTAGCCTTCATATAAAATGTAAGAAATTAGTTTAAAGTTTTTTATTAAATGAAATTATAATCTAACATTGATTATCTAAATCAGCTTTATTCCTGGCCTGAAGTAGCATTTTTATAACAAAATTTACCAGTTGAAATTAAAAGCCAAAAACACTAGAGTGACTTTAACTATTCATGACATTGATTATGTAAATTGTAAGATTATAACCCCAAAAGTACATTTTTATACGCCCACATTGAAATGTGGACGCTCTAGAGGCTAAAGTTAATATCCAATTGACTTTAAATTTATACACACTGTTTAAGGTCATGAGATGAAGAAGACTATTGATTTTCAGCAATTTTAGATAATTACTGCCAGAGTTATGGCCCTTGATCACTTCAAGACATCTTTTGGACGCTCTAGAGGCGTTAATATCCGATTGACTTTAAATTTAACAGAAGGTACAATTTTATGGATACACAATTACTGAGTTTGATACTAAGCGGCTTTTCGAGCAAATGATCTTCCCATATCTCAGTTTTTATACGCCCACATTGAAATGTGGTCGTATATTGTCGTCGCCCCGTCCGTCTGTCCGGCTAAAGTTAATATCCGATTGACTTTAAATTTATACGCAGTGTTTAAGATCATGAGACGAAGAGACCAATTGATTTTCAGTGATATCCGATGATTACTGCCAGAGTTATGGCCTTTGATCACTACAAAAAATCTGGTGGACGCTCTAGAGGCCAAATTTTAAGTAGCTAAGTCTGTAACTCATTATCATCCAAAGTCTTTGACATTAAAAACACAAATTATTTGTCAATTTAAATCAACACTGATGTTGTGATCTTACCGCGAAAATATGGGCTTCTGATATCCACTATTTAAGACAAATAAACATTTTACCATTGGTACATGAATCGTGTACCATAATGCGTTTCAGCGCCATTTGTAACATGGACTGGAAGAACGAGGCTAGACATATTCCAAAAGTCATGTCAAACGGTGACCCCATATTCTTATCTTGAGAGCACGCGAAAAGTATACTATCGATGTAGACTGGAATAACCAGATGCTAGAGATTGCCATTCGATTGAGACTTCTGGCGTATTTCGCCGAACATAACTGATTTGAAATTAGAGTAAAAACGGAAATGTTTGAATGTAAATCAGTTTATATACATTTATATTACATTGTTATATGCATTGCGACTGATTTGTGTCAATTTGTAGGTGCCAAATATTAGCGATTTAGCTCCTTTAATATCTGGTTGACGTTAAATTTATACACATTGTTTAAGGTCATGAGACGAAGAAGCCTATTCAATGAATTAAAATGTTTCGTATACTAAACGTTAGCATGGGGCAGAACTTTATAAAAACCAAACAAATTTTAATGATTTTCTGATAATCATTTAATGAGTTGTTACCAAAAAAAGTAAAAATATGCGACAACTCTTGCTGACTTCCTGGACGATTTAGTTGCTGTGAGCGTATGTTTCGTTGCCTGGCAACCTATCTTTATTTGTGTTTTCAGGTCAATTTTGACAGGATTGTTTCCACCTACTGAAGGTACAGCCTATATTTATGGTAAAGATATAAGAACAGATATGGATGAAATAAGACATAGTTTAGGAATGTGTCCTCAGCACAATGTTCTTTTTGACAAGTAAGTCAAAATAATGTTTCTGTGACATAACTTAGGTTAAACATTAAAGAGGCATTATCACTCTTGACACAAAATTAAATGTAATTAATTCTTTAACTAATTATCAAACTCAAGAATTGACTACATCTTGCAGTTTGTGCAAGTTTTCACTGAACCTCTTAGAAAATACTGTAAAATTATGTGACTTTAGTGAATTGAGCTTTAAAACATTTATATTGCCAAAATAGAATAATCGATTTCTCTGCAATTTGTGCACAGTCTAGTTTGAACATGTCTGATTGAAATATAAGGAAAAAATGTTTAAAGAAATTTGACCAATTGCCAACGCTCACCTAACGAAGATTGAGTTCCTCTTTATTAGGGTATTAAACTGTATGAAATTAAATGTTCTATGATCTCTGCATTTCAAATTCTATAGCTAAGTTTTCATAATATATATTATGAAGATTGTTTCTATTGTATAATTTCCGACGTGGTTTCCCCTTGTCAGTGGTGCAGAACGGAGGGCCTTACCAGGACAGCTGTCTAGTCCTTCGGATGAGACTAAAAACCGAGGTCCCGTGTATACATTGGAATGCACGTAAAAGATCCCTTGGCAGTTGGAATTCGATATAAGAGTAGGCGATAGAGCCGCTGCCCGGGCAAAATTTCCCAAATAGTACACTGTATGGCGTATGCCCGTCTTCATTAGCCCAGTATAGGAGCAGAACAGTAGGACGTTAAACCCCATTTCATTTCATTTCATTTCTATTGTATAAAATTGTCGTCCGTATAGATTAACAGTAGAAGACCATATATGGTTCTATGCAAGGTTAAAAGGTCAAACTGACAGTCAGGTTCGAGCAGAAATGCCAAAAATGATTGAAGATGTTGGTCTGGTAAATAAAGCAAAAGAACGCTCTGAAAATCTATCTGGTAAGCCATCTACTTGTTTTTGAATTTGAAACCAATTATTGAAATTTGTGACATTTTAATCAGATCTGTGACTCAGTGCTCTAAACCTCAACAAACTCTCACAGCACTCTATATATTACTTATCTGTACATAAAACTGTTTACAAGTACAATTAAGTAACTTGGCCAGTGATCATAAAGAAAGTTGAAAAGTGAATGATCTAATAAAGCATGTTTTATTTGTTTGAAATTAAATTTACTCAACTTTCCAGTCAGTTGTTGCCAGCTGGTAAATTATTCCAGGATCAGAAAATAACTATCTTTTCACATAAGAATATGAAAAAATTTTGTCCTGTTTTTGAAATGAACTCATCAATATATGTATAATTATATTTATTATAGGTGGAATGAAGAGGAAGTTATCAGTAGCTGTAGCATTTGTTGGTGGTAGTAAAACAGTTATATTAGATGAACCTACAGCTGGTGTTGATCCGTATGCTAGAAGGTCAATCTGGGATCTATTACTTAAATTCAGAAGTGGTAGGTAAAACTTTTAACAACATCCATTTATTGCAGAAATCGTCTGTTACATTTAAGATTCGGCTAATGTGTCTTTTGGTTTTGTGTTTCATTTGTATCTGGTAGGGATGTAGCACCAGAATTCTTCCAGGGTACTTGATCCTGATCACACCACCGAATCAAATATGTAGCACCATGGGCCGTCTGTCAGACGTGGAAAGTGGGCTATCCCAAACCGGTCGCCACATCCTACGTATGACCCATGCATCTTTTCTTACTACATATCTTAGTAGCCTTGTAATCATCTAGTATTTTCACTTGTTCTCTTTGCTTCCCCTTCACGTTGTGTATTTACTTCTTACTGTTTTCTTAAGACATTTGTCTTTCCAGGAATAACAATGCAACAGTTCATTTTTACATTTTATATATCATATCCGGATACATGGATACAAGCATAGTATAGATTACAATACTAAAGTCATTTTCAAACACTAGCCAGCCAGACTCGCTGGGGCCAGTCTGCTGATAGAAATTGCTACATCTTTTCCCTTCAGGAATCTAGCTGCTGTCTGGCAAATTCTCACAAGTTTGATAGTTTTGTAGCTTTGGGTTTTGGACCTTCAATTGAGCCAAATAACGTTGAAACCCACCCTTACGTGCAGGGGCGCCGGAACCCGGGTACCAGGGTATACAAATGGTACCCCACCCTTTTCTGGGGTATACATGTATACCCATGCCCTAATGATGAAAGTTTTCAACCTTTTTACGGGTCTAGATAGATATGTAATTGCACTCCCGTCGGTCGCGAACCGGCTCTCGCTCTCTCATTATCAGCTATCAGTGCATGCCTTGGCCAGATGTCTATAAGTGGTTAATCGAGTTCATGAGATGATAAAGGCAAGTGATTTAGTGATAGTAGTTTCTGTTTATAGTTATTAGCCTTTTCAATTACACAATTTGTTTATACAGCTATGCTGTAAAAGGTCACTTTCTCTCTTTCCTTTGAGATATCGGGTTTTATTTCCAGTTACCAGCCTTCTTATTCTTTAGATAATTAGGATCACTGAATGAAGAGACATAGAATTGGGAGGTAAATCACTTGTTTTAGGACTGCATTTGGTTCAGAACTCAATATTACAGTCAGTTGTGAATTGGAATTTGCTCAAATCGGTGTTCTCTTCATTTAACTTTCTAATTTGTAAAAATCAATTTATTTTCGATTATTCTTTTTCGGAATTTTGCTATGCCACGTAAGGAGAAATCTTGTGGAGAGTCAAAAAAGACATCTAAACGATGCAGCAACAGCGAAGGACCAATCAACACTCGGTTCCTTTTTTAAAATACCAAAACTTGCGCCCAAAAAACAATGAAGATGAAGATTGGTGTATTGAATGTAAAATTAAAAATAATTTTTTATGAGATGAATTGCTCATGATACGAAAATTGTGAATAATCAGGCTTTTGTCGCTTTCATTATCATGTGTTCTCGGAATTGACAAATTTCAAAATTTTCTAGAGGCCGGGGGGATTCCCCTATCTTTTGGTATCCTGGCCCTCGTGCCGTTCCGGCGCCCCAGTTTATATGGTTTGTGGAAATTTACTGGAGAAACTTCCCATGAGATATCTGTTATCAACCTAGAATTGAATGTTTACCACATTATGACTCTTTTTATGTAACCATCTGTCACTCATTCGCTAACTTGATTTATGAAAATATGTGAATCTACTAACTTGACAGAAATATTAATTAATACAGTATAATGCTATCCTTAATTTAAAAGAGCAAAAATCTTACAGGGACAGCATTACAAAATGAAATAAACCTCTTCAATTCTAATGTTCAAGAGAAGTCTCGCTTGTAACTATTCTTGTCTCAGGTTACATGTACCCTAACTGTCACTGCAGTACTATTTCCACTGTGTTACTGACATATATTATTAGTAGTTCTTAATTATAAACATTGATAAATATTAAAGACAGATTGTGATGTAGAGCAATCTGTTGGGTTTTTTTTACTTTGTCAGTTTACAGAAATTAATTTTGAAATAAACAAGTTCATTAAGAGTTGCTGACAAGTTTCAATTTATTAAAAATCATCATATATAGTTCAATAATTATATTTAAACTAATCTATTCTCAATTAATCTCGTTAGAATTGAACATATATGTAGATTTTGTTCTGTTTTTCTTGCTTTAGGTCGTACCATAATTCTATCAACACATCATATGGATGAAGCAGACGTACTAGGTGATAGAATAGCTATTATATCACATGGCAAACTGTGTTGTGCTGGTTCGAGTTTATTTTTAAAGAATAAATTTGGTAGTGGTTATTATTTAACCCTTGTTAAAGGTGGTATCATTGGTACTAAAGATGATGAGTATGAGGACAATTATGATAAAGATGATTTAAGTTTAGGTCGACCATCCACGGCTGGTAGTATCAGAAGTACAGTAGCTGTGAAAGTAAGTGAGATTATCTTGTATAGTTTTACATACATATGTATTCTACATAGTTGTTGAAATCCTTCAAATTCCCACTTTCAATATATCTGAATGGTTCCGAAATCGCAACCGATAATCCCCATGATAATAACACAAGTCAGGAGAAGGTATGAATGATGTGTATGAGGGATTTAAATGAAACATAGGCAGCCCTGTAAGACAATACACAGCAGAGTACATTCAATAGATCAACATGAAGACTATAATACTATGCTGTATGTACTGACAGATTGATATAAATGTATTTTTAGCCTATATTTGTGGAAGATGATGAAGGTTTTGATGATATGAAGGGAGCTAGTAGTACTGGTAGTACTGGTAGTAGTAAGAGTGATTCACCTACACCATTAGATGACAAGGGTATGATACCAGGTAGAGTAAAAGCTACCTTTATATAATTATTGATAGTCATATAGTTGTTACTAGTGGTGTTAAGCATGGACATGATATTGAAATGATTTCTGTTACTTAAGTGTATTGTTCAGCACCATTGACCACATTAATATATTCCATAACCTTTCAGTTTTGGTCGACTTGTTGCAGAATGTTGACAGACAATTTTATCCAGTCAGCTGTGACTACCGATTACTAATGACATGATGTGATCAGACAGACAGAAACCAGATATTCGAAAACATCCCTAAACTTGTACTTAATATATCTGAGGTTTTTAAATATCACATCCCATGGAATCCTACCCTGGCTTGTCTGTCTTGGAATGCTGTCTTACGTGGGTTTATGAAGTTAACAGTAAAGTTTCTATCAACTTCCTTCAACTGTTTCATGAAATAACTGCTAATGGTACATCTGGTCATTTACAGTTCAAATTTCTGTATATCCATATACATAAACGCAATAACCTACATCATGGTCAAAAACAAGTTTTCTACATAATATGACCTACAGTGTTCTATTACATATAAAATATTCACAGTTTTATATTATATCTGAAGAATAATATTTTATTAAACAGGTTTGTCAGTTGGTCGGATTACAGCTTTTATACAGAAATATGTATCTACAGCAGAATTAGTAGAAGATAACTCTACAGAACTGTGTTTCAAATTACCACATACTTCTGTTAAAGCAGAGTTTCATCATTTATTTCAAGAATTAGAAAAATATCATCATGAACTTGGTATTGATAGTTTTGGTTTATCAGACACCAGTTTAGAAGAGGTATTATTTGTTCTGTTTAAAAATATATATATATATAAAAGATTATAGGTATACCTGAGCCTCCCATGTTATTGGTTGAGTGGGGTTACATAATTTCGTTTTGAAAATTGCCTAAATCACATGACACTTTTTCAAGAAAATGTGCAAGAAGAGATATTTCTATTGTATTAGTTCTAAAATACATTAAACACCTAAAGTTTTTAACATCAGTCAGAGACAGAGTCACTATGATATATTCTCATTGTTCTAGGTATTCCTGGCAGTAGCAGAAGAAACTGGTGTTGATGAACTCAATGATGAAACTACCAGAAATACTTTAGAAAGTGCTTACGATAGTTAGTAATACTTTTTATATGCCCACATTGAAGAAGCCTGTTGATTTTTAGCGATTTCGGATAATTACTGCCAGAGTTATGGCCCTTGATCACTTCAAAAAATCTTGTGAACGCTCTAGAGGCTAAAGTTAATATCCGATTGACTTTTTAAATTTATATACAGTATTTAAGGTCATGAGACGAAGAAGGATATTGGTTTTCAGTGATTTCGGATAATTATTGCCAGAGTTATGGCCCTTGATCACTTCAAAAAATCTTGTGGACGCTCTAGAGGCTAAAGTTAATATCCGATTGACTTTAAATTTATACGCAGTGTTTCAGGTCATGAGACGAAGAATCCTATTGATTTTCAACGATTTCCGATAATTACTGCCAAAGTTATGGCCCTTGATCACTTCGAAAAATCTTGTGACGCTCTAGAGGCTTATGTTATCATCCGATTGACTTCAGATTGATACACAGAGTTTAAGGTCTTAAAACGAACAAGTATATTGATTTTCATTAAATTTTGATAACTTGAACATCTAAAGCCATCATATTAAATATTTCGTATACTAAACTTTTCCATGGGGCAGAGGGCAGAACTTTATAAAAACCAAACAAATTCTAATGATTTTCTGATAATTACTTAATGAGTTGTTGCTCTTAATCAGATTTTAATAATAATAATAATATATAAAAATTTATGTTCGCGCAACAATACTAATTAAAGTTTCTATTGCGCTAGGCAAATTTTTCAATACTGGTATTGGAAAGCAGTTGTGAAAAGCAGAGTCTTTATCTGTTGTTTAAACACTTGCAGTGATGATATTATTCGAATATGGTGGGGGATGGAGTTCCACAAGTAGGGTGCTGCAAACCAAATTGATCGTTTTGTTGTTTCGAGATGTATCGGCGGTATTGTAAATAGGTTTTTGTTGCATGCATACGGTATCAACAAATCTGTAAGATATTTTGATGCTGAACCATTTAGAGGTTTGAAAGTAAGCAGGAGTATTTTGAACACAATTCTCTGCTTAATGGGGAGCCAATGAAGTTGTTTCAAGATTGGTGTTAAGTGTTGGTACTTTCTGCTGCCCGTTAACAATCGTGCTGCTGAATTTTGGATTCTCTGTATCTGATTGATTTGATATTCTGGTATATTGTATAGAAGTGCATTGTGTTGTCTAGTTTATTAGTGATGAACGAATGAATAAGAAGTTCCATAGTATCTGTGCTGAGATATTTCTTGATTTGGCTTTTAGTGTCTTATAAATATTTCATTACTGAAAAAGTAAAAACATGCAACAACTCTTGTTTACTGCTCGGACGATCTAGCTGCTGTGGGTGTATGTTTCATTGCCTGGCAACCTATCTTAATGATTTTTAATACCTTATTATATTTTATACAAATCACATCATGTACGTTACCAGGGCTCGGAATTCGTTTTTTCGATCGAAGGCCAACTTAGGCCTACGATAGGCCAAAGTGCAACCTTGATCCAAGGCCAAAAATTGAAAATCCAGGCCAATTTTTATGTCATGAATTATGATATTATCAGCTTATTTAGAAGGTTTTAATATGTCGATCATGTGTAAATCTGTTTATTGTAGATCTTGTTTCTCAGTCAAAATGTTGTTACAGGCCTGCCTATCACATCACGTTCAATATTTTTATTACTTTCACAAAAATAATGCATCCTTGGAGTTATTGAGTTAAGGGAGAAAATTCTTATCGTACCGTTTTTAGTACAATTTTTTTATTCTAAAAAATATTTAAAAAATGGGTATGTAGCCATATTGAGAGTTGAAAGTATTGCTATATCATCGGTAGAGCTGGGTAAAATATCGATAGTATCGATAAGATATGCCAAAAAGCACTATCGAGTACCGGTATCGTTCTTTTCGTCTATTTTTCTTGCGTGCGTAGGAGTCGACTCGATGTTTTCTGTGACTTAATCCTTCGTATATAATAAAATGTCAATAGCCTACATCGGTCACTTTATATTTACTTCAAAGTCTCAATCTCAATTTAGCTTTTTAAAAAAAATGTTAAAATAAATTCACGCACATTTAAACAATACTTTAGTTTGAAACAATAATTGCCATATCATGGAATTCGCTAAATTGGAGATACCCGGATGTGTAAATAGTTTTTCCTCTTTCAGAATTCGTCTGCTCATTATAAAATTTTACATAGCAATGATGGATGACAAAAACGTTTGTATTTCTTCTTTCGGAATCAAGGCTGTATTTTTTTAATAATAATAAACAATTTACGAATTCGTGATAACAAGCTCTTTAGGCTATTACATTTTCTTTAGTTTTTGCACACGAATCGACAACGATTTGTCCACCATGTTGGTAATTGTCACGCTCACGTACGCAATGTTTTGAATCGACTCGTGCACATTTTATTTTGGTTCCTGCACATACATAGGCCTATCAATGGTATTTCGTCATTCAGAACCAAGGCTACATTATTTAAAAATAAAGAACAATTTACCGGTATATGTAATATGAGACAGTTTATTATTAATTAGACGAACAAAAAACATCTATCAGAGTATCACAAAATCGTATGGTTTGACTTTAAGTTTAAAACACGTAATCCATTCTTCATTACGACCATGAAAATAAGATTGTTTCGATACTGATTATCGATAGTAAAAATAACTCTCGATACCCAGCACTAATCAGCGACCATACATGGCCGTGGATAGTTAAAAATCGGCCACGAATCTGCGGCCGAATTCTAAAATTCGAAGGCCATGTCGAGCCCTGTACGTTACTTTTAAACATGAATATTAGAGCTTATTGAAGTTGACTGAAGTTTAGTATTATGGCTTCTCTGTAATGTTGATGTTTACGGAAATACATTTGTTTTCATTATTTACAGATGGTAAATATCCCCGCCCAGTAACGAGGTTGAGCTTTAGAAATAAGAAGAAATTTAACTTTCTTCGTAATCGTAGTAGCAACAAAATTGAACATACAGAACTACAAGAAGACATAGATGATACTGGTGAGTTATTCTCTTGACAAAAATAATGCATGTTGTTTATTAAATAATACATATTATATTATACAGAAATAATACATTTTCTAGGATACAGAAGTAATTGCTGTCTGAAATGATTTTTTTATTACGAACTTGATTTTATATATTGTTACATTTTTTTGTTATTGGTCGCTGTACAGTACCAGTTCTACTCGCTAATCATGTACTCTCATCTTTCATCCTTTTCCTTTAACCTTTAACATTGTTCATTGATTTATTACATTGATATAAAATCTTCAAGGAGTTATCATTTTGAATTGTTATAAATTGTGCTTTATAATCGACTGTATTCTACAGGTAAAAAGGTTGGACCTTATTGAACTGTGTCAAAAATAAAATTGTTGATTTATTTTGTGGGATAACAGTCTGACTTTGTTCAAAATTTTACATCCATAGATAAAGCATGGTTGAGATATAATTGATTTCATATTAATTTGTCGACACAATAAGCCAAATTTAAAACTAAAATCAGTAAACAACCCAACCTTCGCTATTACTGATCAAAATAATACAACATAATTAGAATAGCCTACTTTATTTTGACCTAAATAAAAGAGTTTTAGCTCCTTTAAAGAGCACATCAAGTGACCAAACAATACTATATGTGCTTATAGCCAGTAGTTACTATATACAAATTATGGCAAGTTCACGCCTATCTGATTAAAATTATTTGACGCACACCTGAAAACACTTTTCAGTTTTTCAATTACAGCCTTAATCCAGGTCAACATCACAATGAATACACATACAATATACGCTATTATGATCTTATCACTATCTATACACACTACCAGTTGACTAGTGTTTATTGATGTTTTTATATCCCTCACTATCGGTAATTGTATCTTTATCGGCGATATATTTCGCTGTCAAAATCTGATATCGGTGAAACCGATAGTAGCCATATCTGACCATCACTAATTTTAATCAGATTGGTGTGCACTTGCCGTAAAGCACTTACAGTAACCATTGATTATAAGTACATAAAATTTTGTTTGGTCATTTGATGTGCTCTTAATATGTATTAGTAATATTAATAACAGTTATATGTGTGAATCATAGACTACAAACCAGTTACACTGTATAAGTGTTTAAATAAAATCAATATTTCAGCTTCGGTAGCATCAGGTACAATAGGCAATAAATCTGTATTTGCTGATTCTGGAAAAGCTAAAATAATTGGCTGGTCACTTATTCTACATCAGTTCTACGCCTTGTTTTTGAAGAGATTCCATCATGTTAGACGTAGTAAAAAAGGATTTGTTTGTGAGGTAATTGATCATATTATATCTGCTGTGTAATATATATTATCGAATGAAATGGGGTTTAATTTCTCATCCACACAATGTTGTGGTCATTTTGAGACTGCCATATGGTAATTTTAAATCTTATCTTTGCAATGCAAAGGAGAGATTTTTGTTAATGCAATATGTCTGTTTAGTCTGCTCAGCCTTGTTGAAGTTCCATCTTCAAAGTGTATTTATATCACATTATGATTTTTTGGTCAACCAGATTTATGTGATCATTTCTCCCATTGTCTGTCCATCTGAGTATCTATCTAAAGTATGATTAATACAAATATATATCTTACTTACCTCTTATTTTAATGGTGATTGCAATGATAAAAAGATGTTTATCGTCCTTAAATCCTTGCAGATCTTTTGTGTTTTTAAAACAAGTTTTTCAAAATAATGTTTATATATCAAAAATGTCTTTGCCTTAAAGACCATCATGACTAGAAAATCTTTATACACATTAGTAAAAGACATATTCTGTAATCGAATATACTCTTCAAAAAAAGTAGGGGATATTAAAATGCAAATACCTATGCAGGTTGTGATATGATAAATAGTCATGGACACTTGACATGCTTTGAGAGTATGTTCACAGATGAAGAACTTACTGCCTCAACAGAACCACTGAGCTGCACGTGCGACATGAAATAGCGCCATACACGTGGGAGGGGTTCATTGTCAAATTTGACACTTCAAGGAAGATTTGATGAAAACAGCCGCGTGCTGGTTTATCCTATCCATGTTTGCTTTCCTATCAGTTCATGCATAAGATATTCTGTTTAGCGTCTCTTTGCTTTAGTGTGTTACATTTAATTTGCAATGAGACGTCTTCAACATGATGAACGTCTACGTGCTATTGGCATGCTTCAAATGGGTTCTACACAGCGAGCAGTAGCCAACATGCTTAATGTGTCAAAGTCTTTGATCAGCAGACTGTGGAACCGGTACCAACAAACACCAAAACAAATGCTGAAGATAGACCTCGTTCAGGTCGTCCTAGAGCCACTACACAAGCCCAGGATCGATACATTCGTACACAGGTCCTACGAAATCGAGGACAAACGATCAATCAGCTTTCTGTAAACTTGTACCAAGTTACAGGAATTCGAGTTACACCCCAAACGATTAGAAATCGGCTACATGCAGCCCATTTGCATGTGCGACGACTGCATGTTGTGCCTCCATTAACTCACCAGCACATGGCAAACAGGCATCAATGGTGTAGGCAGCGTAGAAATTGGGGTAATAATTGATGGGCACGTGTAATGTTCTCAGATGAGTCCATATTTACTCTGGATTTCACCGATAGAAGTGCTCGTGTGTGGAGGTGTGTAAATGAGCGTCATGCTAACGTTAACGTCAGACAGCACGACAGATCCGGGCATGAGTCTGTTATGGTAGAACGGACTTGCATGTTGTTTGTGAAACGGTCACTGGTGTGTACTACCGTGACTACATCCTGGAACCGATAGTTCTGCCCTTTGCTCAACGTGCAGGTCGACGTTTCATCTTTCAAGATGATAATGCCCATGCCCACCGCGCTCGTGTCGTGAATGACTAACTCCAGCGTCACCATATTATCCATATGCCTTGGCCAGCCATGAGTCCTGACCTTTCCTCTATAGAGCATGTCTGGGACATGATCGGGAGATGTGTTTGTCGACGTCAACGTCAACCGACAACACTGCAAGAATTGACCGTGGCACTGCAAGAGGAGTGGGTCAGATTGTACCCAAATCGTGATTGAACGTTTGATTAGGAGCAATTACTCATTATTAAGACAAAAATCAAAAACGTCCATTTTCACTTTTGACAATGTAGCTCTTTGCGAGTGAAATGGGGCCGTCAGATAAGCCACCCATATGAACTGTTCATGTGTAGGCAATTGGCCTGCTATTAACATACACTGGTTACCTCTAATAAAAACAACAGTGCATTTCCGCAGTTTTGTATTGTTTCTGAATACCCCCTACTTTTTTGGAAGAGTATATAATATTATTCAACATTTTGTTCATAGATTGTATTGCCAGCTGGTTTTGTGTGTTTGGCAATGGTCTTTAGTCTTATTTTACCTCCATTTGAGGAAGAGCCACCATTAGAACTACAACCATGGATGTATACACCTAAAACTGGTGAACCCCATCTGTATATGTTTTATGCGTAAGTATTTGTGTTTCATTAATACAGTCTTTATCTTATAGAGTTTTTAATGAATAAATTATACAAAAATTATGTTCACATTTACATGGTAATTTAAACCTGCTAGGTAAAAATTGCCATAAATTTAGTTAGGCATGATCAATTTGAAAACTTTTTCTACCAGTATATTTTTTATACGCCCACATTTTCATGTGGACGTATATTGTCGTCGCCCCTGTCTGTCCGTCCGTCCACAATTGTTTGTGAACAGTCTACAGGTCACAATTTTTATCCGATTTCAATGAAACCTGAAATATAGAATTATCACCCTAAGATCTCGGTTCCTTTCGATATTGGCATCTATCGGACCGTAACTTCATGGATTATGGCCCCTGATTGTACGAAAAATCACGTTTTTGGCTTGTGAACACTGTAGAGGTCACAATTTTTATCCGATTTTGTTGAAACTTGAAATGTAAGTTTATAACCCAAAGATCTCCGTTCCTGTCGATATTCGTGCATATCGGACCGTAACTTCCTGAATTATGGCCCCTGATTGTACGTAAAAACGCATTTTTTGGCTTGTGGACCCTATCCGATTTAAAAAACCGTATTATTATATCACCGTTAAACCCAAAGGACGGTCGAGTTCGAATTCCGTGAAAATCGGCCCAAAACTGACAGACAAAATGGCCGCTGTTCGTTCTCAAATAGCGTAAAAATATGATATATCAAGGTTGTGGACCCTATAGAGGTCACAATTTTGTTCCGATTGTGTTGAAACTTGAAATGTAAGTTTATAACACAAAGATCTCGGTTCCTTTCAATATTCGCGCATATCGGACCGTAACTTCCTGAATTATGGTCCCTGATTGTACGCAAAAACGCGTTTTTTGGCTTGTGGACCTTATAGAGGTCATAATTTTTATCCGATTTAAAAAAACGTGTTAATATATTACTGTTACACCCTAAGGACGGCTGAGTTCGAATTTCGTGAAAATCGGCCCAAAACTGACAGACAAAATGGCCGCCCTTCGTTCTCAAATAGCGTAAAAATATGGTATATCAAGGTTGTGGACCCTATAGAGGTCACAATTTTTATCCGATTTGGTTGAAACTTGAAATCTAAGTTTATAACACAAAGATCTCGGTTCCTGTCAATATTCGCGCACATCGGACGGTAACTTCATGAATTATGGTCCCTTATTGTATTAGGCCGAATTCTCGGGGTGAAAATCTTGTCACCTTCGCTCCCGCTAAACCGGTCTACATATCGGACTATCAATAATCGTGCAATCAATATGTCAACAAAGTTCTCCAATAAAATTTGCCAATTTTATAGTTTAAGCTCGAAATAGGCCAGAAATCGATGACTTATTTCTTTATAGTGCGGAGCCATATTTGCGTAGATGTGAGTTGGATCCTGCGCAGCTATTTAAAATTTGGCCAATCAGAGGTCGCGCTTGCGGGGTTGCGGTCAAAAATGATGGGGTCAAGTGCCAGGTCATAGCATTTGTAAACAAAGCCATGTGCACTATTTACCTTGCAAATTGCTCGCGATCGGGACGAACAGAGATTAAATGAACCCCAAAAACGTCCCATCCGTGTAGAGAAGTGGTGTATGAGAGCCACAAAAGGTATTTTGATCACCCACTGACATACAATGTGGCAGTCAGTCAGGTTTTTTCGACACTGATTAAGGATATTGGACCTGTCGATTTCACTAGAAAAATGCCTTAATTTCAAGGGAGACTACAGAGAATACAACAAGGTCGCTTCTTCTATAAGTGTAATTCAATTAAAATCATTCATTTTACATAACAACATACTTAAAACCTGTCTAGCCTACTGTCTTAATAATGATCATGGATAGGCTAGTGTATAGCTAAGATTAAGAATGAAAAAACATATTTTGAAATAAAGGTTGAAACTTAAAAAGTTGCAGAAATATTAAGAATAAATGCTTAAATAATTTGAACTAGCTCAGAATTGTCAGGGAAAAGTCCATATGGACGAAATAAAATTATGCATCTACAATGTATAAGCTTACAAAAGATATATGAATTCAAATAAAGAAAAATGGTTTTTGTCTGCAATTGTGTAGTGTACATGTAATCATCGATAAAAGTGCCAAACACATTTTCAATGTTCGAATCTTGCTTCTGATTAATAAATATTCTGATTTCTTTAAACAATTATAACAGATACTGTACATGTAGTTGATCAATTCCAAAACTAATTGCCTTTGATTTGAAAAATATTTTTGATCGCCTAAGATAAATAAAATACAATTTAATAGAGGATTTACACTAAGAGTAAGGCACTAACTCATTTAGTAGTTAGAATAAGGCTACCGGTATTTGTTTTACTGGACTTATCAAAGCAGCAAAAATGTTATTGGTACTTTAAATAAAATAATAAAAATGCTGTTTTTATTTCGCACTGGACTAAATTGTCCCTCTTTTGTGTGGCCCTTGCTCGAACATACATGGATTTTTTCTTGCAAATTATACAGATCTCTGATAAAACTGACTTCTTTAACTCTGATGAAGTAGTAACAAGTACTGCACCATCATGTGATTCCTTTGGTGAGATTAATTAAGGAGTAGGGGTGAATGAGACACACTTTTAATTTTTAAAGTTGTTAAGTACTAGGCCTAGTAGAAGGGGTTTTGGACATAAAGGCCCTAAACCAAAATGGCTCAAGTATTTGGTCATAACGGTCAAACATTTTGGTCATAACTACATAATGGCCAAAACATTAGGGTCATAATGGCCAAAAAGAACATTTGAATTTTGATATATTATGTATCAAATGATATTTATTAATATAAATATTGCATAATATAAATACCAATATTTCTTAATAGATAATATTTTCATATACATTATTTAATACATAAATTTAAATATACTGTAGACATTTATAGTTATCTCACTGTATAACTATAACATACATAATTTACAAAGACATCTATTTAATATGGAGGGTGGGTGGCTAATGGTTTAACATTTACACATGAAATCATAAGGTCTGCCATTGCGTCAAGTGACATAGTTTCAATTCTCCGCTTGTATGTAACAAGGACTAGGGTCACTTGTTCAACCTTGTGAGTTTTCTCCGAGTCCCCCAGTTTCCTCCCTCTCATACAGACCCTTACACGCAAGCGAATTATTTAAATAAAAAGGAACCATATGTTGGACCCCAAAATGACCTACTTTGTGTCGACTGGACATTAATGTTCAGCTCATGTTACTTTATCAGTGGGGTGTGAAGGACTTAATTAGGGATTATCAAAAACTTTGATTAATTAGTATTCCCGTCTTTCCTTTGAATCACAGCATGCAATGTTCTGGGTTGACTTGGATGATTATATTCAATTCTTTCATTCACAAATTTTTCTGGACTTATGGTCTGTAGCCTATGATGCACCTTTATTACATTTATTTATTACTTCTACTAGTTGGAATAGAAGTGGTAATATCTTGTTGAAGGTTCGGTGAAACCGTTTTTAAAATATTATGTTATGAGTGAATTGTTATTTTTATTGAATGATTAACATACTAATAGTCAGTTGTTAAATAATGTTTGGTAAAATATATTATGACCACATGAATCACAGTAATAGTCTGTATGTGATGACAGTTTTAGTTGCGGTTGGACTGACTGAATGTAGACGCTGCCTTCTCACTCTCTTTCTTTCTCGCATCATTGAATTGTTTTGTTCTTAAAACATCCATAAAACGTTGGGTGAAATCCAAAATCACTGCCGACTGTATCTTCAATATAGTATCCTTCGTAATAAATCCATTTGTATCGAAAAATGCTGCAATGGATTGGTCATTTCCAAACGATTGATGAAACCAGTCTATAGCTACCTCACGATATTTGTCTTACCTTCTGTTTGTAAAGGGTTCTGCACCTCCTTTATTAACACTGTCTAAGTGAACAATACAAGTTACTTCAGCCTTTGTCGCCATTTTGTGTAGCTTCTACATGTATAACTGCAATGTGATCCTCGTGAAGCACGCCATTTTGTGTTTACCAACAACACACGCGAATGTGGACAATAACGTGATTGGCCGATTGTGGAAAAAAAGATCACGTGACGCGGCGAACAACGCTGAATTCTGTCCAGTGACCTCGCGCACTATGAATTTTACTATCAATAAATAGTCCGGATTTCAAAGAAGAATATCACCGAAGAACTATGAAATTTTTTGTAGAAAATTACAACAAACGAATATCTCTATATGAACTATACGCTGACAAAATTTCTTCTAGACCGGATTTGTAGGAAAGAAAATATTTTTGCAACGACAATTTGTGCCCATAGAATGCGGCCTATATGACAAATCGCGTTTTTAGCTTGTGGACCATATAGAGATCCTAATTTTTATCCGATTTAAAAAACGTTTTATTATATCACCATTAAACCCTAAGGACGGTTGAGTTCGAATTTCGTGAAAATCGGCCCAAAACTGACAGACAAAATGTCCGCCGTTCGTTCTCAAATAGCGTAAAAATATGGTATATCAAGGTTGTGGACCCTATAGAGGTCACAATTTGTATTCGATTTTGTTGAAACTTGAAATGTAAGTTTATAACCCAAAGATCTTGGTTCCTTTCGATATTCGCGCATATCGGACCGTAACTTACTGAATTATGGCCCCTGATTGTACGAAAAATTGCGTTTTTAGCTTGTGGACCCTATAGAGGTCATAATTTTTATCCGATTTAAAAAAACGTATTATTATATCACTGTTACACCCTAAGAACGACTGAGTTCGCATTTCATGAAAATCGGCGTAAAACTGACAGACAAAATGGCCGCCCCTCGTTCTCAAATTGCGTAAAAATATGGTATATCAAAGTTGTGGACCCTATAGAGGTCACAATTATTATCCGATTTTGTTGAAACTTGAAATGTAAGTTTATAACTCAAAGATCTTGGTTCCTTTCGATATTTGCGCATATCGAATTGTAATTTCCTGAATTATGGCCCTTGATTGTAGGAAAAATCACTTTCGTTTAGCTTGTTTTCTATCCATCTCTCGAAAATGTGGGCGTATCCTGCCTGGCAGCCGCTGGTTCATTGTACATGTACAAACAGTATTATGTGGCGTTTATTATGGATTTTTGATAATTTGTATACTATTGTTATATCAATCTCTTACAAAGATACCACCAACCATGTCAGTATAGTTTATATGATTACTGTATAATAACAACATTTTAATCATGTAGTTTTCTTCTGTCTATTGTAGAAACGACAATCCTTCAAATCCACTAACACAAAGTTTAGAAAAAACATTATTCTCAAAACCTTGGGTTGGTAATAGATGTATGAAACCTGATGTTTATTCTGTAAGGTAATTGTAATAATATAATCTATATTCAGTTAAACTTAAAACAATTCTGGCATCATTACTAGTACTGACAATGGCTGAAATTGTCACTTTCTGTGTGTATGTGTATTGCATTTTCCATTTGCTCTACATGTTGGCACATTATTTGCCTTCAAGTATCTTTAGCATCTTAGTGAATGCAATCACCAGGGTATTTTAGCTACAATGCGTTTTTTTACATTTGTAAATTATTGTTTTGATAAAGGATTTCCCTAGCTGATATTATATATTTTAGTGGTTATTCATGTCAGTCTGATTCGGAAACCTTGAAATGGACAGCTAGACCAAGTTTAACCGGAAACCTGTCTATAGATTCTCCAGACTGTGATTGTTCAACAGGCTTTCAACAATGTCCTCCAGGTTGGTTAATACTTCAATATTGTTTAGGTTAATCAGTTTGTTGGATGATTACTGCTGTAGGGGTAATGCCTGCAGGGACTTATAAGGAAAATGTGCTTAGTTTTGTATAGATATCGGAATGCTTATAAAAGACTGCTAGCCTTGACGGCTGGAATTCAATGGGGAATAGTTGAAAACACACCTGTGTTTGCAAATTCTTCTCATTGCATTGTACTCATAATCATAGTAAATGGAAATGTCAGTATGTTAGTTTCCAGATGACTGTTATAAAGTGTCAACAGGATGTTAAACCCAGTTTCATTCATTGTTGGCTTATTACATTATCAATAGTAAATATGGCAAAACATCTATACAGTGTACAATATATACCTACACTAAATTCAGATGTTAGATGTGAATTCAGTTTGTACCCTATGTCAAGTAATATATTATTTACAGGAGCTGGAGGACCAACACCATCTATGACTCTACTACCAACATCTGACTATTTGTATAATCTGACTGGTCGTAATATCAGTGATTGGTTGGTTAAAACTACAAATTCTTATATCAAAAAAAGGTAGTTCTTTGCTTTATAATTATTTGTTTGTTTTGCCAGCGTTCATCTAATTCATAGGAATTGATTACTATAGTTTTTTGATACGACCACATTTTCATGTGGACGTATATTGTTGTCACACCTATGTCCATCCCACCGTCCGTCCGTCGGTCCGTCCGTCCACAATTGTTTGTGGACTCTCTACAGATTTTGACGAAACTTGAAATATAGGTTTATCCCCAAAAGATCTCAGCTGCTTTTGATATTGGCATGTATCGGATCGAAACTTCATGGATTATGACCCCTGTTTGTACGAAAAATCACGTTTTTAGCTTGTGGACCCTATAGAGGTCACAATTTTTATCCGATTTTGTTGAAACTTGAAATGTAAGTTTATAACCCAAAGATCTCGGTTCCTTTTGATATTCGCGCATATCGGACCGTAACTTCCTGAATTATGGCCCCTGATTGTACAAAAAATCGCGTTTTTAGCTTGTGGACCCTATAGAGGTCATAATTTTTATTCGATTTAAAAAAACGTATTTTTATATCACCGTTACACCCTAAGGAAGGCTGAGTTCAAATTTTGTGAATATCAGCCCAAAATTGACAGACAAAATGGCCGCCCTTCGTTCTCAAATAGCGTAAAAATATGGTATATCAAGGTTGTGGACCCTATAGAGGTCACAATTTTTATCCGATTTTGTTGAAACTTGAAATGTAAGTTTATAACACAAAGATCGCGGTTCCTTTCGATATTTGCGCATATCGAATTGTAATTTCCTGAATTATGGCCCTTGATTGTAGGAAAAATCACTTTCTTTTTAGCTTGTTCTCTATCCATCTCTCGAAAATGTGGGCGTATCCTGCCTGGCAGCCGCTGGTAACATGATAGCAGAGCCCAACCACATTTTTATTAGAAGACATGACAATATAGACCTGTGATGGCAAGTAATAATTATAAAAATCAACCGGTCTTCAGTTCCGACACGAATTATGACTCGTGGAAAGCCGAGTTGGAGATTTGGCGCCTTGTCACCGATCTCGACAAAAAAAAGCAACCTTTACCAGTTTGTTTGACATTAACCGGCAGAGTATATGAGACAGCGGTTGAAATCCCCAAGGAAGATCTTAATTCTGACAGGGGAATTGAACTATTATTAACGAGGTTTGACAGCGTTTTTAAAGAAGAAATAAAAGATGCAATGTGGTCACGCATACATGACGTTTGAACAGTTTTGCTGACAGACTGATATGACAATTGATAAATATATTGTCCAGTTCGAAGCAGAATTTACATGAATTTACCTGATCCTGTATTGGCATTTAAGTTGTTAGACAATGCCTCTCCTTCAACAACTGAGCGGCAAATGGCCTTGACTGCAACTGGTGAGTTAACATTGAAAGATATAAAGTCTGCGTTGAAGAGAATTTTTGGTAGTAAGATTAATAGTGCCAGACAAAATACGAACCAAGAATCTTTTAACGACATAATAAAGCATGAAATTAATGCAGTATCTTCTTATGGTAGAAAACCATCTTATATTCCTAAGCGCAAGGAAACCAACAGCTCACATTTACCAACGGATCAACCTGTTAAAGGCACAAACCCTTTAAATAGATTTGGAAAATGCTCTAGATGCGTTATTTGTCAGTCCACTTATCATTGGGCAAAAGACTGTCCTCATAAGCAAGAATCTGCTAATTTAGTTAAGACTGCGACTGTGATTGGTGTGAAATAACTTTAATGGTTGATGGTGATGAGACCAAATTTGAAAAATCCTGTGCTCATGAAGATCTTAATGTATTTGTTGTGCAAGCTAGTCATGCTGCTGTTATTGACACAGCATGTACCAAAACTGTATGTGGAATTTCATGGTTCGAGGATTATACACGAACATTAGATGTCCACTTTTAAAAGTGACCGAACATTCAGACTTGGGGATGGTGCTACTGTGAATTGAATAAAGATGGTAAAAATTCCTTCATTTGTGGGTAATAAAAGCTGTGTTATAGAAGTATAAGTTGTCAATGCCAGTATTCCGTTGTTGTTAAGTAAGTCTTCTCTCAAAGAACTGGAAGCTATTATTGATTCAGCAACAATGTTTGGTGTTCCTGTAAATGTAGAATACACCTCGGTTGGACATTTTTTTTGGGTCTTGGTGTTTCTGAGAATACATGTTCTAGCAAAAACATTGATAATATTTTAATGGTTTATGAAAGCAATATGTCTAAAGTAGACAAACATAAAATATTATTGAAACTTCCATCAACAATTTGGGCATGCCTCATGCGCAAGACTTAAAAAAAAACCTTTTAATTTCGTCAGGTTCATATGATAAAGAAGCTTTTGAAATATTACACAACATTGTATTCAACACAAGAAAGCACCAGTTAAACCGGCAGTTGGGCTACCATTAGCAACTGAGTTTAACAAAACAGTGGCAGGCGATTTGCATGAATTTGAACCTCATTTATTGTACTTACATATAATTGATGAATTGACCTGTTTTAGTGCGGGATGTATACTGCATAATAAAAAAGCTACAACGTTTGGTCAAAGCTTTTATTCAAAACTGGATATGTGTTTTCAGTTCACCCCATAAATTGTATTCGGACAATGGAGGTGAATTTAATAACAAAGAAGTTCAGGACATGACCGAGAACTTTAGTATTGAATTAAAATTAAACGCAGCATTTGCACCCTGGAGTAATGGTACTCGTGAGAGACACAATTAAACATTAACAGAAACATTAATGAGAGTCAAAGATTCTGGAGATTGCAATTGGGAGACAGCATTAAGTTGGGCCGTAATGGCAAAGAACTGCTTAATAAATAATTATGGTTTTAGTCCCTATCAGCTAGTATTTGGTCATAATCCAAATCTACCTACAGTTCTTAATGATTCTTTGCCTGCTCTAGAAGGTAGCTCTATTAGTAAGGTTGTGGTTGAACACTTATAATCTTTACATAAAGCTAGAACTGCGTTTACACAGTCAGAATGTTCAGACCGAATACGAAGAGCAATTAAACACAACTTGCGAACATAATGATACAATGTACCCTCCGGGTGATAAGGTGTTTTATAAACGTCCAGATTGTAACAAATGGAAGGGCCCTGGAACAGTTATTGACGCTGATAATTCTATTATTTTTGTCCGACATGGTGGTACCTATGTCAGAGTTCATAAAAGTAGACTTGCATGTACATCAAGATAGTGATTCTACTAACAGTAATAATGAGTTCAGAGATGATGTTATTGAAAATGATCCTTCAACATCAACTAATGACAATGTCAATACTTCTGAGAATGAGGAAGAATCAACCCAGTCTGATCATCATATTAATGGTGAATATAGTGATAATCTTACTAATAGTGAACATACCTGTAGTGATAGCGGTACAGGTAGTGTTAATAATTCTAACACTAGTGCAATAACACCTCAAATAAAGCCTGGAATGTTGGTAATATTTAATGAAAATGACGATACATTTATTCAAGCACAGATTTTAAGCAGAGGAGGGAAATGTTCAGGAAAATACAGAAATTAGTATAATTTAGAGATTTTAGTGCCTGAAACAGGGTTTGGTAGTACCATAGCTGTGGACTTATCGAAAGTAAAAAACTTACAAGAGTGCGATGTGGTAGAAAATGAGTGTGTTATGGTTTTAAGCGACTGTTTATTAGATAAAGCAAAGAAAAAAGAACTTGATAGTTTGAAAGAAAATAATGTTTATAAAGAAATAAATGATACTGGACAAAAGTGTTTATCAACTAGGTGGATAATTACAAATAAAGAAACTTCTGATGGTTTTATTCCAAAGCTGTGGCTTTGAAGAAATAACAGATAATCTTCATAAAGATTCGCCCACGTGCTCCAATGAAGCTTTGAGAATAATACTAACTATAATGTTTATTAAAGAGTGGTCTCCACATGCTATGGATATTAAAACTGCCTTACTGCAAGGTCAAGCTATTAAATGTAACATTTATCTTAGACCGCCTAGTGAAGCTAATTCTATGGGTGTTATTTGGCATTTACAAAAGTGTGTTTATGGCCTCAGTGATGCTTCCTTACACTGGTATCAAAAGGTTAAAAATGTTATGTGCACTCTTGGTGCCAAAATGTCAAAAGAAGATCATGCAGTGTTTTATTGGCATGATACGCAAGGAGAATTAGTCGTTCCTATATGTTGGTCCTCGAATGAATTAAGACGTGTTGTGCGAAGCACACTGTCCGATGGAGCCTTAGCCATGGCTGATGGCATTAATAGTGCTATATTTGTATCTAATTTGTTCAAGGAACTAAAATTAGAGAGCATTTCCATCAAATGGGCACAAAACTAGACCCAACTTTTCTAGAGTGAAAATTTTACGTAGAATACGATGCCGAGTGGTAATCAGTCCGCCGTTGGGTCGTTTTCGAGATATTCGGGGTCAAAAGTCAAATGAGTTCATTTGCACTGAAAGTGAATGTGCAGTCATTCTTGTATTATGCAAAGAAGCTGAAAATGATCAAAAGTAATCACACTTTCAATAAAAATGTAAACTTGCTAAATTCACCTTTAGTCTTAGTGACCCTGGAGGTCAAAAGGTGAAATATACTGTTTTTGCACCAGGAAGATTTAAAGCAATAAAATGTCAACGTAAAATATAAAAACTAAAGTGAAACCTGTTCTAATTAATAATAGGAATATTTAAAGTTTATCTTTAGGGGGTCTTTGCACGGAACTTTTACTTGTGGATTGTCAAACATGATCTTGCATAACAGAACCAACAAACTTTGAAACCTGTTACAAAAATACGTAAAAACTGTCAAATCAAAATCTTTCTGATTGATTTTCAGAACTGTTGTTATACATAATGATACTAGTGCGCTAATAGTCGAAAAGTGTGTAATACCAAGGTTGTGGGCCCTCTAGAGGTCACAATTTTGATCCGAATTTGATGAAGCTTGAAATGTATGTTTATAATGCAATTTATACTTGAGCATGCTTTTGGATGGATTTGGCGCTCTACAAATGTACATTATTATTATTATTATTATTTAATACATAAAACAGTAACAAAGGGTTTTGACTGTTTTTTTGTCCCCCGCCTTTCGAAGAAAGCAGGGGACTGTTAAAATGGGTTCTTCCGTCTGTCTTTTTGGGACACAATAACTCTTTCTAATTGAGCTAGAATGTTCAATCTTGGTGTAGGTGTTTATTAGGTCAATGCCTTGATGAAGTTCGTTGATGAGCATTTTCTGCTTAGGGTAAGCAGCGGAGATAAGCAATTTGATTGGTTGATGCTTTGGGGCACGAAAAATTTAGTTTTAATTAAGTGAGAGTGATGAAACTTGGTGTATAGCTTTATTACATCAATACCTTGACTAAGTTCGATAATGAACATTTTCTGCTGAGGGTAAGCAGAGCGATAAGCAATTTGATTGGTCGAGACTTTGGAACACAATAACTCTCCTTCTAATTGAGGTAGAATGTTCAAATTTGGTGAATGCCTTGATGGAGTTCGATGATGAACATTGTCTGCTTACGGTAAGCAGAGATAAGCAATTTGATTAGTTGATTCTTTGGGGCACGATAACTTTGGTTATAATGAAGTGAGAGGGTGATGGCTGTCCTAAGTTTAGTTAAAATTGTCCCTAAAATAGTTTTGTGGTACACCACTATTTTAAGTTACGTTAAAATTTTAACTTAAAATATTATTTTAGTGGATTTTATCTAAAATGTTTAAAATCGTTTTGTGAAACTCATCTTTCTTAAGTTAGGATGAAATTTTAGTTAAAGATGATTTTAAGGAGATTTAAGTTTTTGTGAAACAAGACCCAAGTTGCTATTATGTTCTATGACATGTGTAGAAATTTCTACATGTTAATGTGGTCTAATATATGAAGACATTAAAGTTTATTTTATCACAGCCAATGTCTCTGTGTATATTTGTTGCATTTTTCTTCATGTTCACTGTATATTATATTAGATTGAATTTTAATATTATGTAGGTTTATGTACTTTGCTATGGATACATGTACTTGATAAGTTTGTAATGGAGACTGCATTTTGTTATTAATGAGTACATGTATGTAAATGGATACTATGGTGTTGTAGATATGCTGGTATAACATTTGGAGATATCAATATGATGGCTGAATTAAACTCGACACAAATAGTAAATGTTCTGGATAGACTAGCTACAGCTGCAAATAATGGACAATCTACCAATATATCAAATATACAGTTCTGGAGTGATTTAGAAGAATTCACCAAAGGTTTATTAACACAAAATGTTGCCAAGGTAAGTGTTATTTTAAGGATGCAATATTTCAATATATTTAGTACATGTAGATGATTAGTTTTATCTCTGTGGAACAGATAGAATTTAGTTTAACAGATTTTGCGGTATATCTTATATTGTGTTATATTCTAGGTGTGGTTCAATAACAAGGGCTGGACGGCATCTGTATCATATATGAATGTATTAAATAACTTAATATTAAGGAGTTATCTGCCCTCGGATAAAGATCCATCTGTATATGGTATAACAACTATTAATCATCCCATGACTTACAATAAAGAACAACTTAATGAAGAATCATTGTAAGTTTGACTTTAATCTAAAATTTTCGAACAGTAAAAGTTCTTATTGACGTATGATGCCTGGACATTGTTACATAAATAGGTTATAATACTGTCCAACGTTCAATAGTATTTGTTATGGAATATCTGTCTTCATTATCCCAGTTGGTGCAGAAAAGTAGGACCTTAAACCCCATTTCATTTCATTGTATGGTGTCATTTATAATAGTATAATATTTTACTGAACTATGGATAACTGTGATAAACTGTAGCTAACATCACTGTCACATTTACTGAATACAAGTCTCTTGTATACCACATTCTATTATTATATTGTCGTCGGTCCGTCCATCCTCCACTATTTCTTGTGAACACTCTAACGCCAAAGGTTATCATCCAGTTGTTTTAAAATTGATATATGTTGTTTACATTAGTGAGATGAAGAAGTCTATTTATTTTCAATAATTTCCGTTTATTATGTCTAGAGTTATGGCTCTTGTTTCGCTTTGTTGCATTATTTAAATTAGTGAAACGAAGAAGCCTATTGAATTTCAGCAATTTCCATTTATTACGTCTAGAGTTATGGCCCTTGTTTCACTTTATTGCACCTTGTGAACGCTCTAACGCCACAAGTTATCATCCAATCTTGATTTGAATTAGTGAAACGAAGAAGCCTATTTAATTTCAATAATTTCTGTTCATTACGTCTAGAGTTATGGCCCTTGTTTCACTTTATTAAACATTGTGAACACTCTAACGACAAAAGTTATCATCCGATCTTTCTGAAATATATATGCATTATTTAAATTAGTGAAACGAAGAAGCCTATTGAATTTCAGCAATTTCCGTTTATTATGTCTAGAGTTATGGCCCTTGCTTCACTTTATTGAACCTTGTGAATGCTCTAACATCAAAAGTTATCTGCCCATCTGTATGAAATTTACATGCGTCATTTAAATTAGTAAAGAGAAGAATCCTATTGAATTTCAGCAATTTCCATTTATTAGTTCTAGAGTTGTGGCCCTTGTTTCAACCTTGTTAATACTCGATTGATGAAAGTTATCATCCGATATGTATGAAATTTATATGCATCATTTAAATTTGTGGAACAGAGGTCTATTGAATTTCAGCAATTTCCGTCAATAATTTATAGAGTTATGGCGGTTGTGAACGTTTGAATGACAAAAGTGATCATCTGATCTGTATGAAATTTATATGCATTATTTTAAATTAGTAAAACGAAAAAGCCTGTCAAATTTCAACAATTTCTGTAAATTACTTCCAGGGTTGAGACCCTTGTTTCAGTTTGTAGAACCTTGTATGGAACTGTCTTATAAAGCCCCCCAATTACTTACAAGGGAATAAATATGCGACAACCCTTGTCGACCGCTCAGATGATTTAGCTGCTGTAGGCGTATTGTTAAATTTTCACTAATTGGTGTGATCTGAGAAACTGTTTATTATTAATAATTACAGTACCAGTTATTTTATTTTGTAGATTTTCTAGTTTTGTGGATGTAGTTGTGGCTATATGTGTTATATTTGCCATGTCATTTATACCAGCTAGTTTTGTGTTGTATTTGATAGAAGAGCGAGTTAGTGATAGTAAACACATGCAATTTGTTAGTGGTATTAATCCTACTGTATACTGGATTTCAACATTTGCATGGGACTTGGTAAGATTTAAATTGTTTTTACTTTACCGTACTACAATTTCTGAAAAAAGTCAAATAGTACAAATCCAGACTGAAACCATGTGAATGTGAAGTGAATTATAACTAAAGATCATCTATTCATAATAACACAACTTTATGGATTTACTACTTCTTGGTTTATTACATGCAACGTTTCAATATTCTTACAGGTATCTTTATCAAGATAAAGATAAAGATACCTGTAAGAGTATTGAAACGTTGCATGTAATAAACCAAGAAGTAGTAAATCCATAAAGTTGTGTTATTATGAATATTATACCTCTACTTCTAAATGTCATTTAAGGATATTAAAAGATCATCTAGTTTGTTGTTTTAGTTAAATTGAAATGTAATTCAGGACATTGAGACTGTTCATTAAATGCTCTCTATCCTGTGTTAATGATTAATATTTTCATTGACTAATAAATAGGTGAATGTTTGTTTATTTTAGTTAAATTATCTGGTACCAGCATTCCTGTGTATTTTGATATTTTTGGCGTTTAATGAAGAAGCCTATGTATCAGCTCACAATGCACCATGTCTTATAGCTTTATTAGTTCTATATGGGTAAGTTAGCTTGTTAATACTGGCTCATAATTCTGTATGTGTAAGTTGGCTTGTTAATACTGCTCACAATTCTTTATGGGTAAGTTAGCTTGTTAAATTGTAATAATATTGGTGTGTAATTCAAATGATAAACATCTAACAGTACATATTAAACCATATCATGCTATACAACAGAAATGATGCACTATATAAAAGTTTAATAATGATAATATAATTAAGCATACACCTTGTCCTCAATGGACATATATTGTTAGTGTCCAACACTTATTATGTTAAGTTGGTTTCTATTAATTTGTATTTTACTTTTCAGGTGGGCTATTATACCCATGATGTATCCATTTGCAAGACTGTTTTCTATACCAAGTTCAGCATTCGTGGCCTTGTCATGCTGTAATGTATTTTTAGGAACTATTTCTACATTAGCAACATTTATACTGGAATTACTTGGACAATCTGATCAGGTAAAATATAATTTATTGTTCAGTTAGTATTCTCAGTGTAATTCAAAATTCTTCTCCTGTTAGTATTCACCACGTTATTCATTTAGAAGCCTTATTCTATGGTCTCAATTTTATACCCACTCACTCCACTACGGAAGCACCAGTTCAAAGAAAGCCAAATACATCAAACAAAGAGAAGCGAAGAAAATAAAACAGATTGAAGAAAAAATTAATATAGACAGTGACATCCCGTATGCCTGTTATACCTACGGCTTGGATACCGCCATTCGAGGCACACATGTGGGACAGAATATCAACCCTTAATTTTACCTATTTAGATCTATCCATCTCATTGGAAGAATTCATAGCCACTACTGAAGAATCCTCATCTAAACTTGTTCCTGAGCATCATAAGAATACAATGAATAACCTTTTTCAACCTCTGTCCCCATCAACAAAGAAATTAGAAGACACTACTCCAGATTTAGATTAAACATGAAAATACCAACAGTCAATAAGTTTTTTTAGCCTGTTTTTTAACTTGTACATTTGATTTTTTGATGTTAAAAATAATTATTGTTAATCATCATTTTATGTAAATAATTTAAATTAGAATTTTTTCACTCTAAAAATTGTTTTAATCCCAATACAGGGATTAATAATCCCAAATCTTACATTAAATCGCATGCGCTATAAATAGTTTATTGTCTATACATACCCATCACAGGGTTTATTTTACTCTTTGTAACAGCAGATGAATGGCATATAGACCAAAACCTGTCATGCATTAAACCATCATTCATAACACAGTCTTGTCCAGATGCATATTCCTCGCAGTGTTTCGTTTGATTAGAGCTAATCCCACTTAACACTGCTGTAAAGGAAGCAAATTCTGTTCCATTAACGACCAATAGCTAACTGCGTAACAATATCATTACGCTTTAAACAGAGCTCCAAATTGGACCAAATATGATAACATAACATTACGTCATGACTCAATATTTTATTATGCACAATTAACCAGTGCATAGCAGAATATTGCAGAAAAACTAACTGTGTGACAAACAAGGCTATCAACACAGATACAATGTAAACAATACTGGTTGGAGACGAACAATACTTTCACTGTTTTTAATACCTTAAATCACTGTCCAAAGTTTTAGGGAAGACCCCAGATTAAACGAAGGGCTGTCATGTTGCTGTACTTGGGATAGATTTGATTGAATGGGAAGAATAGACACACTCCCTCAAAAGTTCATTGCTTCAGGAAAATGGTCCATTTGTTGCTTGGGGATTATTTATTATGGATTACTTAAAGGATTAGTTCCAGATCTTTTCCGGACGTATCATTGAGATCCAAACTGCCTGGCACTGATATAGGACTCTTCCTTCCTTTTTACCACTTGCAGTGAAAGGTTCTTTCGTGAACTCTTTGCAGTTCTTATTTAATTTCAGTTGATATGATATGATCCATATTTTTTTTTAATTAAATGTTATTATTATATAAAGTTGAAATTAATTTGTTCAAGTAAAATTAAGATTTTCCCAAGCACTGGTTACCTGTAGTTCAGCTATTGGAGTTAATGCAGTATTTGTTGTCATTCAACTTTCAGCCATAACAACAATCCCAGATAACAAATCATTTACAGAGGATGGGACAGTGTAGGTGACTTTACGGGAAGACAGGTTTTGATCACTCATTTGGGTGATCTTCACTTGAGATATCCTATTTTGGCTATTCTTACAAACAATTGATAAAATATGTTAAACAACTTTACTATATATTAGATTGGTTTATTTTGTAGGATCTAGAAGATATCAATAGTATATTAAAACAAGTATTTTTACTTCTACCTCACTATTGTCTGGGTCGTGGTTTAATTGATATGGCTGCCTATCAACTGAGATATGAAGTTATGCTGAGATTTAGTAAGTATATTTCTTTCTCGTATTTAAGATACGTTATGTAAGATTTTGATAAAGAGCTGGCAGTTCATGCTATAACAGTTCAAAAATAGATAATGCAAAATGAATATTATTTCATTCAAATTCAAGTTTTGACAAGATGTGGTATAGATTGTTTATTATCATAGCAACGGTACATGCTAATGGAGACTAAGCCTGGATACACAAGTTTATAAGTAAATCATTAAATGGCGATCGTGTTTCAATCCCTTTAAATATCAGCTATTGCATGATCTAGAGAGTTGATTATAGGCTTGTCACATGAATAAATGTCTAAATAATAGTTTATACAACATTTGAAGCCAAAAGGCAGACATAGCTCTTGATAATAATTTTTTTTTACCACACATTAAACATATCTTTTCAGGTCCTAATGCTAAACAAACTAACATATTACAGTGGGATATAGTAGGTCGTAATTTGTTTTGTTTAACGATGTTGGGTATAATTTTCTTCACATTGAATTGGTTAATTGAATATCACTTCTTCATCAAACCAAAGTAAGTGTGTATTTAATACATGTACTAATGGACACAATATGCACTACAGCATTTATATTTTTATCTTGTCAGTGATCAAAAATAGGTTTACCTCATACAGAGAGGTATAATGGTGGAGTATAATCTTCTTGATTCTTCTAATTATCTCATAAAGACCATTTCCTCCCTGTTCTGAGACCTTGAAATGATGTATCATTAAACCACTACAAAACAAATGGTTATCACTGCATTCTAAAACAACAATTAAATGTAGATTAACGTTATTATAGATAGTTAAATTCTTTCTTGTAGCAAGTTGTGATTTACTGATATTTTAGAAATTAATATATGCACAAATGAGTGATTGAGTGTTCAAGTATCTTTCTGATGATGGCAAACAAATTATTTAGTTTTATAGACATTTTCTTGATTTGATTTAAATTTATATATGGACCTAAAAAGGGGCACATAGGGCCTTATAAGGTGGAGGAGACATTCAGCTTTGTTTAACATGATTGTTTTTTTACGAATATAGAATGAGTAATGATAAAGATGGAAGTACAGATGGTATAGAAGATATTGATGTCAAACGAGAAAGACAGAGAGTTTTATCAGGTGATGCTGATGATGAGGCGCTAGTTATCAAAAATATATCAAAGGTAAATCAATGATCTTTCTATTATGTAAGGCTGACCTTAAAAATATCTTTGTTTCGCCTAACGCGACCGACTAACTAAAACCACCCCCGACTTAAATTATTTTATTGCACTTTTCCGCGATCTTTTTATTTTATTTTGTGTGTCAACCTGAAATATATCACGAGAGTTATTTCCCTTTACTATGGCTATGGTTTGATTCATTATTGAAACTGGTTGATCAAGACGAAAGCGTCATAGGTGTCGCTTCTCAACAAAATGGTTGCAGACGAAAGCACGTCCATTCCCACGAAATGATTCTGCCTCTATGTCTGTGGGGCGTCGTTTTAAACATGACGACGATATTTTCAATATCCGTTTTCGAGAAAAATGAAGGCACAACCCGCACGATCGTTAAAAACGTGTTGAGGGAGTTTCAAACGTGAGTTTGTGGCAATTTGTGTGCGAGTCGTGCATCAAGAAAAATCCCGATGTCATTGATTTGTTTGCCAATAAAAGAAGACGAATGTTTGCACCCGAAAAATTATCAAGCTGTCAAATTAGCTCTTAAAAAAAAAATCTGAAAAAAAACCCGACCTACCGACCCTTCTCCTCGATTGTGGGTCGGGTTTGGTGAAACAAAGATATTTTTAAGGTCAGCCTAAAGGTGAAAATTTCAAATTAAAGTAACGGCTGGATTTGTTTAATAAGATTATGTATCTCATTTATTGAATTTCTCTGTTCAGTTGTACAAGTGTCTTGATAATTGCGAAAATCAATTATCAGTATAATCGAAAATATATATACATGGTTCCCCAGCCACTTTTTATACGCCCACATTTTCATGTGGATGTATATTGTCCTTGTCCGTCCGTCAGTCCGTCCACAATTTGTTTGTGGACACTCTACAGGTCACAATATTTATTCGATTTTGATGAAATTTAAAACAACAAAGATCTCGGTTCCTTTCGATATTGGCATATATCGGACCATATAATATGTGGACGTATATTGCCGTCGCCCCCGTCTGTACGTCCGTTCGTCATCCACAATTTCTTGTGAACGCTCTAACGCCAAAAGTTGTCATCCAATTGCTTTAAAAATTTTATATGTTGTTTACATTAGTGAGATGAAGAAGCCTATTTAATTTCAATAATTTCCATTTATAACTTTGTGAACGCTCTAATGCCAAAAGTTAACATCCGATCTTTGTGAAATTTACATGCAATATTTGAATTACGGAACGAAGAATCCTATTGAATTTCAGCAATTTTCGTTTATTACTTCTAGAGTTATGGCCCTTGTTTCACTTTGTTTAACCTTGTGAATGCTCTAACCCCAAAAGTTATCATCCTATCTTTCTGAAATTTATATGCAGTATTAAAATTAGTGAAACGAAGAATCCTATTTAATTTCAATAATTTCCGTTTATAACGTCTAGGGTTATGGCCCTTGTTTCACTTTGTTGAACCTTGTGAACGCTCTAATGCCAAAAGTTAACATCTGATCTTTGTGAAATTTATATGCAATATTTAAATTGGGGAAACAAAGAAGTCTATTGAATTTCAGCAATTTCCGTTTATTACTTTTAGAGTTATGGCCCTTGTTTCACTTTGTTTAACCTTGTGAACGCTCTAACCCCAAAAGTTATCATTCTATCTTTCTGAAATTTATATGCGTTATTAAAATTAGTGAAACGAAGAAGCCTATTGAATTTCAGCAATTTCTGTGTATTACGTCTAGAGTTATGGCCCTTGTTTCACTTTATTGAACCTTGTGAACGCTCTAACACCAAAAGTTATCATCCGATCTTTCTGAAATTTATATGCATTATTTAGATAAGTAAAATGAAGAAGCTTATTGAATTTCAGCAATTTCTGTTTATTACGTCTAGAGTTATGACCCTTGTTTCACTTTATTGAAATTTGTGAATGCTCTAACATCAAAAGTTATCTGCCGATCTGTATGAATTTTACATGCGTCATTGAATCCTATTGAATTTCAGCAATTTCCGTTTACTACTTCTAGAGTTATTGCTCTTGTTTCACTTTGTTCAACCTTGTTAATGCTCGATTGATGAAAGTTATCATCTGAAATTTTAAGAAATACTGCAATTCGATTGGCTGACCAATATGCAAATTGGATATATGCAAATTGATTTTACTGGTCAGCCAATCAAATTGCAGTATTTCTTAAAATTTTGATTGTATCTTAGTTTAAGTTTTCATGAATAAGGGCCCAGACCAAAACTTCCGGACAAAATGGCTGCCCCTCGTACGCAAATACATTAAGTGTATATATGGTATATTAATTTGACGAAGTGACGAAGAACTATGTACTATGTTCTAAGAATAGGTTGGGGAAAATACCTCCAAGGCGTTATATTACGTCCTACACACAGTGAGCTGCAGTTGTCCAGGACGTAATATAACGTCCTACACATGCTGCGATCGTGGGGGAATTCCCAAGGGATTCCCCCAAGTGACGAACTATGTTCTAAGAATAGGTTGGGGAAAATACCTGCAAGGCATTATATTAAACCCTACACACAGTGAGTGGCAGTTATCCCGCTGTTTATATAACGACCTACGCACTTAATGGGTTAAAGTTGTGGGCCCTCTAGAGGCCACAATTTTGATGAAACTTGAAATACATGTTTATAACCCAAAGATCTTGGTCCCTTTTGATATTCACGCATATCTGATTATAACTTCTTAAATTATGGCCCTTGATTGTACGAAAAATCACGTTTTTAGCTTGTGGTCCCTCTAGAGGTTATATAACGACCTACGCACTTAATGGGTTAAGGTTGTGGGCCCTCTAGAGGCCACAATTTTGATGAAACTTGAAATACATGTTTATAACCCAAAGATCTTGGTCCCTTTTGATATTCACGCATATCTGATTATAACTTCTTAAATTATGGCCCTTGATTGTACGAAAAATCACGTTTTGAGTTTGTGGTCCCTCTAGAGGTCACAATTTTTATCAGATTGAAAAAAACGTTTGAATATTTCACCGTTACACCCTAATGACGGCTGAGTTTGAATTATGTGAAAATCAGACCAAAGCTGCTGGACGAAATGGCCGCTTCTTGTACACAAATAGTGTAAATATATGATATATCAAGATTGTGGACCCTCTAGAAGTAACAATTTTGATATGATTTTGATGAAACTTGAAATATATCTCTATAACCTAAAGATCTTGGTTCCTGTCGATATTCGCGAATATCGGATCGTAACTTCTTGAATTATGGCCCTTAATTTCACGATAAATAGCTTTTTGTTTTAGCTGGTTCTCTATCCATCTCTTGCAAAATGTGGGTGTAACCTGCCTGGCAGCCGCTGGTTAATGTGGAATTTAGGTACAACTTGAACAGAACTAGGAAAAAATCAGGGACAGTTCCTGTATATTATTTATTGTGTAGACATATTAACTACTATATATTATTTGTTGTATAGATTAAAACCTGTATATATTATGTGTTTTGTAGACATATACAACTGGACGTAAGAAGATGAAAGCAGTTAATAATTTATGTGTTGGTGTACCTAAAGGACAGTGTTTTGGACTACTTGGTGTTAATGGTGCTGGAAAGACGACCACATTTAAAATGTTAACAGTCGACGTACCTATTACCAGTGGATCAGCTTTTGTCTGCCAAAAAAGGTTATAATCTTGTGATTTGTTGAGTTTGGATAACATTGTTCAAAGGTGTAATACATCTGAATGTGTAATACCATGTTAGTCTAAAATTTACCTAAATATAGTGTAGGCGAGACTGTAAATATTAGACCTTTAATTGTAATAAAGTAAATGTAAATTGTGGACCATTAATCGAAATAAAAAAAAAATGTAAATTGTGGTTCTTTAATCATAATAAAGTAAATGTAAATTGTGGACCTTTAATTGTAATAAAGTAAAAGTAAATTGTACACTAAGTACTTTGAAATATTTCTTTGATTTTTGTCTTTAGTGTTTTAAAAGAAAAAGATAAAGTACGACAAGTAATGGGATATTGTCCTCAATTTGATGCTTTAGATAGTTTAATTAGTGGAAGAGAACATCTAGAATTTTATGCTAGAGTACGGGGAATAGAAGAGAAAGATGTTAAACAGGTGAGTAGTTTACATGTATTCAAACACTTTATACAGTAGGACGTTAAACCCCATTTCATTTCATTATACAGTCAAATACATTATACAGTCAAATATTAAACAGGTGAGTCAGGGTTGTAAAATTCCACTAGCCCGACGCTCGGGGCTACCAAAAATAACTTACGGGCTAGTGATCTATTTAGCCGTACTAGTCCTGAACTAGTGCCCTTTCATTGGTTTGTGAATTAAACTAGTGACGATATAGATAAATAAACTGTAAAACATCCCACATTTATTCCTCCAATTCCAAGAAAAATTCAATCATAACAATAGATTTTCTGTAGTAAAACTTAGAGCCGTATGGACATTTTTTTGTACCTCTTCTGTTCATTCATTATTGACATTTCATTTCTCCATCTTGCACGCTCTGACAGGTCACATATAAACCAGGTTGATTGAAAAACAAAAGCTTCCCTTATACTTTATAAGATTAGTTTTGACTATTCTGACATAAATATTTGAAAGCATACCTTTGTCTTTTTAAATACAAAATAATTTTAATTATTTAACATGTCAGGTATTTCCAAAGAATTTACTACATGTGAGCGATAATATAAACAATTTTACTATCCTGTCTATTTTAATATTATATCAGAACATCAAACTGATTTGTTTCCTTTGGAGACTGTTTATAGAGTGACCAGGTTAATAAATACTGTAAAACAATTAATTTGTCAATCAGTCAAGGCTATCTCTAGCTTTGCAGTAAGTGCTAATAATAACGTAATGTATACAAATCTTCGAGTGGGAATTAAAGGACATTAATTTCCTGTGATATATTACAAATGACATTATGAAGTATTTATGTGGTCTTTAGTGAAAGAAAACATTGTTGTGGCAACCATTCATGGTTTTGAAGGTCAGATATAATATGTATAGGATATTAACCTACCCGAGGTTGAAATGATAGAGAACATGCGGGCGAAGCCCTGGGCTAGTGGATTCAAAAATTTTTTTACGCCCCTGAGGTGAGTAGTTAACATGTCATCAAATACATTATACAGTCAAATACATTATACTGTAATTACATTTATTATAATGTTTTATGTCGTCAATTACAAATTTTGTTATAATATTTTATGTATTGACAGGTAGCAGATTGGGCTATAAAGAAGCTAGGCTTATTACATTATGCTGATAAACTGGCTGGTACATATTCTGGTGGAAATAAACGTAAATTATCAACAGCTATATCACTTATAGGAAACCCACAGATAGTATTCCTTGTTAGTATTATTATATTTATAATATAATATTTTAAATGTTGGTCACCGAGACAGGCTTTCATCAGGCATTGTTTGTGGAATTATGCATGATCACTAAAAGTAACTCTGATTGAATAGATAATATTAATAATAATGCTGATTGAAATGAAATGAGATTCAACATCCTACTTTTCTGCTCCATACAAGCTAATCAAGACGGGCATATGCCATGCAGTGTGCTATGAGGGAGATTTTACCCAGACAATGGCACCGTCCACTTATTCTGAATTTCAAATGTCAAGGGTTTTTTTGTCCCCTGCCTTTCAAAGAAAGCAGTGGACTATTAAAATGGGTTTGTCTGTCCGTCACACCTTTTGGGACTCAATAACTCTCCTTCTAATTGAGCTAGAATGTTCAAACTTGATGGAGTTCGAAGATGAGCATTTTCTGCTTAAGGTAAGCAGAGATAAGCAATTTGATTGGTTGATGCTTTGGGACACAATAACATTAGTTCTAATTAAGTGAGATTGATGAAACTTGGTGTACAGTTTCTTTACATCAATACCTTGACTAAATTCAATAATGAACATTTTCTGCTCAGGGTAAGCAGAGCAATAAACTATTTGATTGGCTGAGACTTTGGAACACAATAACTCTCCTTCTAATTGAGGTAGAATGTTCAAACTTGGTGTAGGTGTTCATTAGGTCCATGCCTTGATGGAGATCAATGATAAGCATTGTATGCTTAGGGTAAGCAGAGATAAGCAGTCTGATTGGTTGATGCTTTGGGGCACGATACTTTGGTTATAATTAAGAGAGAGTGATGAAACTCTTGAGCATAGATTCATTATATCATTACCTTGACTAAGTTCGATGATGAGAATTTTGGCTTAGGCTAAGGAGTGATAAGCAATTTGATTGGTCAAGACTTTCGAACATAAAAACTCTGCTTTTGAGGTAGAATGTTTAAACTTGATGTAGGTGTTTTGAGCTAAAGCTAAGCAATTGGTCGATGCTTTGGGACAAGATAACTTTGATTCTATCTGATAGAGAGTGATGAAACTTAGTGTATAGTTGATAATCAGTTTGATTGCTTGATACTTTTAAAAAAAATAAATGTGCGATCAATTAATATGTGTCATCTATTTTGGGATTTCGGCGGGGACATCAGCCTCACTGTTCCTTGCCAGACCCTCTGTCTTGCATCACTGACAAAGGGAAATCACAATGTAAAATCTTTAGGAACTGAGCCTTCACTTATGAAATATGCTAAGCTTAACATATTATACTCGTAACCTGAGATTTTGTAGCTCCAACCTGCACTGCATCTAAAGCATGCAATTAAATTTTCGTTTAAGAACACAAGAACAACATTTAAGCAAAGACGACAACTTGAGATCTTATTAAAGATCAAAGCTGTAACTTGTGGTCAGAAAAAACTAACTATGGTGTTAAATCCCTCCTATGAGATAACTTTAATTCATATATTAACATTATAGGATGAACCTACAACTGGAATGGATCCTAAAGCTAGAAGATTTTTATGGAACTGTATTAGTGAAATAGTTAAAGATGGTCGAACTGTAATACTGACATCTCATAGGTATGTAAATCCTTGTTTAGTAATGCCATAACTAAGTATTTTTGCTACAAAAAATCCCTAAGATTTGATAAATATTGAACTATATTTGTATCTGTTAATATAGTATGGAAGAATGTGAAGCTTTATGTGGTCGACTGGTTATAATGGTAAATGGTAAATTTAAGTGTATTGGAAGTTCTCAACATCTTAAAAACAGGTAAATAACTCATAGTTTATTTTTTATTATCAAAATGTTCTGAAGTTTGCTTTATTTTATGAAATTTAAGAAAAGTTTTTTAATGGCCTCTATGCCAAATAAAAAGAGAGAAGAGGACATTGTGTTGTTTATTGTCATAAACAGACTGATCTGACTGGCTCTGCAGGATTTGCTGACAGTGATTTTAAAACTAGAATGGTCCGATAATCAATTTCAACATCGGTAATTGGCCGATAAGTGGTCTATCGGAAGAAATCTGTATCGGCTGATTCTTGACAATTTTGCCGATACTGGAGTCGCCGATATCTGTTCAAAAGGACTCGGTAAATAACACTAAAATATCATTCGAGTTGTGAACAATTAAATCGTTACTTTGCTTGACACTCGGTACTTTATTTTTAGTTGCCATGCACGTGACTATATAGACATAATACTAACAAGACTCTCATAATAAACAGTGCAAAATCCAATCTGATTAAAATACAGATCTATATTTCATTTCGTTTTTTTATACTTTCGATGACCTACACTACATGAAGATCTGACCGGTTGTAGTGAGGTCATACAAGCGGCTTTTGACCCTTGATTAACCAATCAGCACTGATGTTTCTAGTGGATTATCCACAGTTTCGTGCACCACATGCCAAAAGCTTGCTGTAACAGACCGTTTCATTAGCTAAACCCTCACATCATCCAGAACACGTCAATGATAACAACTCTTCCAGATCCTAGTGTAGTAAAGACAAGTAAAACAAAAATCAAAACAAAAATAGGATCTGTGTGCAAAATCCTTACCGGTCTACATTATTTTTTAATACTTATTCACACATTGTTTGTGAGATAGGGTCTCTCAATGTGAAATAGCTCTAAATCTAACTACTGGGTGGCATTTTCTTTTTGTGTTTGTGTGTCGCCTACAGGCCGCAATTCTTAATCGATGGCCTTGAAAAATTTTCATACATATTTCTCATGTCCTTAGGATGGCCTCTATTATTTTTGGTGCATGCCAAACGCCCAATTTTTGCGTCTGTCTTTGTTTCGCCTACAGGACGCAATTGTTAACAGATCATTTTGAAACTTTGCAAACCTATTCCTTATACCCTCAGGATGATCCCTATTGTTTTTTGGTGAATGCTCAACGCCAATTTTTTCATTGTGTGTCTATGTGTTGCCTGCAGGCCACAATTCTTTATGGATTGTCTTGGAACTTGGCATACTATATATTCCTTATAGCCTAAGGACGCAAACTATTGATTTTGGTGCATGTCCAGACCCCTGGTGCAGCCTATAAATGATTTATAGGCTGCAATTATTAACAGATTTGGATCCAAATCGGAATGATCCATCATAGGTTGTACCTATATATATTGGTCCATGTCCAACCCCCAGGAGCAGAGCCATACCCATTTTTTGTGTTTTTAGTCTACAGGCTGGAATTCTGAATTGATCATCGTGGAACTTGGCATAGTTATTCCTGTAAGGATAGCAACTATTTATTTTGGTACATGTCCTGACCCCCAGGGGTGTGGTACCACGCCCACTTTTTTGTCTGTAAATACTCTGCAGGTTGCAATAATTAACAGGTTTTGTTCAAATTCAGCATATCAATCATTTCAGGGTGGTACCTATTTATATTGTTCCATATCCACCCCACAGGGCCATAGACATGCTCAATTTTTGTATTTATCATCTACAGGGTGCAATCCTGAATGGACCATCTTGGAACTTTGCATATTTATTCCTTATACCTTAAAGACAGCAACTATTTATTATGGTGCATGCCCCGACCCCCTTAGGGCGGTGTCACACCCACTTTTTTGTTAATATTTAGTCTCTAAATTTAACAAAACAAACCCAACCCTAGCCTTCTTTGTCTCTTGTCATATTAAAGTCATTGCAGCTATTTCATATTTCATTCTCTTCCTTTAAAAATGTACCATATCAATGAAAGCAGGAATGTGGACGTATATTGCAGCGTTAGCGATGCTCTAGTTTTGTCTTCGTTTTATCTAATTCACTACGGTACTTGCATTTTCTGCACACGGTCATAATACGTAGAGGTTTTAGAAAAGGTAGGAAAATATCTCTTTGTTTACAAGTGATTGGGATGAAGGGGCGGGGGGTTATGGCAGGAGAATATCACATGATTGCTACTGTTGACAGACGGGAAGCTATGGCTTTGATGTCGTATCATTACCGCACAAACCATTCTGACATCTATTATAGGTGGCGACAAATTTTGGGAATTACATCATAGTCAACATTTAATAACTGATAATCTCTACTTTATTTATTATTCATACAGCAAATAATTTTAGTTCACAATAGATGGTGTGTATTTTTGAATAAAGAGTTTATTAGTATGAAAATTTGTTTAATTTTAGGTTTGGTGATGGATATACTATAGTTATAAGAATCTCTGGAGAAAATCCTGACATGAAGCCAATCAAACAATTGATTGGAGAAAATTTCTCAGCTGCCAAATTACAAGAAGAACATAGTAATATGGTACAATATCAACTTGGTACAGCTAATTTATCTTTATCTAGATTATTTGATATTCTAGAATCAGCTAGACATGAATATTATATAGAAGATTACTCTGTATCTCAAACAACTCTAGATCAGGTATGTTTAAATCTCATGTTTTACTGTAAACTAACAGCGGACATTTGTCTTCATTTAAATTGTCCCAAGAGATTGTCTTCTAGATTTCTATTTGGTTGTTATGTGTGGTGGGTTCATCTGCACTAATGTATATTTCTATCTATTCTGTACGTGACAAGGAGTAGGGTCGCCTATCCAACCTCGTGGGTTTTCTCCGGGTCCTCCGGTTTCCTCCCACTGCTAAAGACCCCTACGCGCAAACGAATTATTGAAATAAAATTGAAGCATGTGTTAGTCCCGAAATGACCTAGTTTGTGTTGAGTGGACATTAAACCTTGTTTCTCTCTATTCTATACCAGTCAATTTTCCATGAAGTTTTTGTATGCCCACATTGGAATGTGGTCGTATATTGTTGTTGCCCCCGTATTTAAGGTCATGAGACAAAGAAGCCTATAGATTTTCATTGATTTCCGATAATTACTGCCAAAGTTATGGTCCTTCATACTCCTAGCAGTGTTTGATAGACCTAATCCCACTCAATAGTCCGATTAACAACCAATATCTAATTCCGTAACAATATGATTAGATTTTAAACAGGGCTCCAGATGTTTACATAACGTTACGTCATGACTCACGAAAATTATTATGCCCAATTAACCAGTGCATAGAAGAATATTTCAGAAAAACTAATTGCATGACAAACGAGGCTACCAAAACGGCTCAATGTAAACAATACTTCTTGAAGACGAACAATACTTATGCCGTTTTTATACGCCCACATTTTCATGTGGACATATATTGTCGTCGCCCCTGTCTGTCCGTCCGTCCACATTTTGTTTGTGGAAACTCTACAGGTCACAATTTTTATTCGATTTTGATAAAACTTGAAATGCATGTTTATAACCCAAAGATCTTGGTTCCTTTCGATATTTGTGCATATCAGATTGTAACTTCCTGAATTATGGCCCCTGATTGTACGAAAAATTGTGTTTTTAGCTTGTGGTCTCTATAGAGGTCACAATTATTATTCAATTTAAAAAACATTTGAATATTTCACCGTTACACAGTAATGACGCTTGAGTTAGAATTTCGTGAAAATCGGACCTAAACTGACGGACAAAATGGTATATCAAGGTTGTGGACCCTTTAGAGGTCATAATTTTGATCCGATTTTGATGAAAATTTAAATACATATATATTTATAACCCAAAGATCTTGGTTCCTTTAAAAATTTGTGCATATCGGATCGTAACTTCCTGAATTATGGCGGGGATCATGGTGGCTAAGTGGGTAAGGCGCTGGCTCGCTAGCCTGGAGGTCGGGTGTTCGATCCCTGCATTGGCCGAGAAAGTTCATCCAGATTTTCCGGCGTGGTTTCCCCTTGTCAGTGATGCAGGCCTGACAAGGACAGTTGTCTAGTCATTCGGATGAGACGAAAAACCGAGGTCCCATGTACACATTGGCGTGCAGGTAAAAGATCCCTTGACAGTTGGAATTCGATATAAGAGTAGGCCGTAGTGCCGCTGTCCGGGCAAAATTTCCCTCATAGCACACTGTATGGCGTATGCCCGTCTTCATTAGCCCAGTTCGGAGCAAAACAGTAGGACGTTAAACCCCATTTCATTTCATTTCATTCCTGAATTATGGCCCTTGATTTTATGAAAAATCATGTTTTTAGCTTGTGGTCCCTCTAGTGGTTACAATTTTTATCCGATTTAAAAAATCGTTTGAACATATCACCGTTACACCCTATTGATGGCTGAGTTCGAATTTCGTGAAAATCGGACCAAAATTGCCGGACATCATGGCCACCCCTTGATGCAAATAGTGTAAATATATGGTATATCAAGGTTGTGGACCCTTTAGAGGCCACAATTTTAATCTGATTTTGATGAAACACATATTTATTACCCAAAGATCTTGGTTCCTTTCAATATTTGCGCATATCGGATCATAAATTCCTGACTTATGGCCTATGATTGTACGAAATATATGGTATATCAAGGTTGTGGCCCTCTAGAAGTCACAATTTTGATCCGATTTTGATGAAACCTGACATATATCTTTATAACCCAAAGATCTTGGTTCCTGTTGATATTCACACATAACGGATCGTAACTTCCTGAATTATGACCCTTGATTTTACGAAAAATCTCTTTTTGTTTAGCTTTTTCTCTATCCCCATCTCTTGCAAAATGTGTGTGTATCCTGCCTGGCAGCGGCTGGTTAATACCTTATATCACTGTCCAAAGTTTTAGACCAAAATTTATCATCAGATTGACTTTCAATTTATACATAGTGTTTATGGTCCTGAGAAGATGAACCTTATTAATTTTATTTAACATTTTCTGATAATTATTGCTAGAATTATGGCCCTTGATGCTCTCAAGATCAAAATTATCATCCCATTGACTTTAAATTTATACACAGTGTTTAAAACAATAAAAGCTAAATTCAGTGGGGGTTGGATGGCCGAATGGTTAGCACGCTGTATCATAAGGTCTGCCATTGAGTCAACTGGTGTGGTTTCGATTCCCCGGTTGTACATAGCAAGGAGTAGGGTCGCCTGTCTAACCTCGTGGGCGGGCCCGTAGCCAGCTCATAAAATTTGGTGGGGCTACAGAATTTTTGGGAGGGGCTGAGGATGTGGCCGGCTAAGAACGCTCCTAAGAAAACATTATTGTTGGCGAAATATCTTGGGGGGCTAATTTGATTGGGGGGGGGGGGGGCTTAGCCCCCCTTCCCCTTCCCTGTGGCTACGGGCCCGCTCGTGGTTTTTTTCCAAGTCCTAGAGTTTCCTTCCACCGCATGTGGCAGAACAACTGGAAGCCAATTTTATTACATCAGTACCTTGACTAAGTTTGATAATGAGTATTTTCTGCTCATGGTAAGCAGAGCAAAAGCAATTTGATTGGTCGAGACTTTGAAGCCCAATAACTCTCCGTCTAATTGAGGTAGAATGTTCAAACTTGGTGTAGGTGTTCATTAGGTCAATGCCTTGATGGAGATCGATGGTAAACATTGTCTGCTTACGGTAAGCAGAGATAAGCAATCTGATTGGTTGATGCTTTGGAGCACGATAACTTTGTTTATAATTAAATCAGACTGATGAAACTCTGAGCATAGATTTATTATATCATTACCTCGTCTAAGTTCGATCATGACAATTTTCTGCTTAGGTTAAGGAGCGAGAAGCAATTTGATTGGTCAAGACTTTGGAACATAACAACTCTGCTTCTAATTGAGGTAGAATGTTTAAACTTGATGTAGATGTTCATTACTGAGTTCAATATTTAACATTTAGAGCTAAAGCTAAGCAGTGCTTAACAATTTCATTGGTCGATGCTTTGGGACAAGATAACTTTGATTCTATCTGATAAAGAGTAATGAAACTTAGTGTATAGTTGATAATCAGTTTGATTGCTTGATACTTTTGAAAAAAATGAATGTGTGATTAGTTAATATGTGTCATCTATTTATTTTGGGATTTTTTTTCGGGTGGGGGGGGGGGTACATCAATGTAGACATTAATTTATCAGTCGCACACTAATGAGAACCGGTTGACTAATTTAACAATCATCTAAGACAGGACTATTGGGCAAACTTTCGGATCAGATAAATGTGTGATATTTTAGAAACAGTTTTAAATAATACTTATATACCATGTAATTTGAAAATTTATAATTCAATAATTAATTTATTTATTGATTATATTAATTGATAACAGGTGTTTATCAACTTTGCTAAAGGACAGACCGATACTATGGATGCGGATGTTGATGATATAGAACAATCATATCCTGGTGGTAAGATTATATATTCACTTATAGAACAATCATATCCTTATGGTAAGATATACTTTATAGAATCTGTAAAACTATAGCCTAAAAACCAAATTCGTAAAGAGTTCAATCTGTCATGTGATTTTTTTTCAAAATATACAATAGTTCATGTTTTAGGGACCATCAAGCAATTTAGGTTTTTTTTAAAGCATGACTGGTCCACAGTGTTTATTAGACACCACACATTTGTAGTAATATGGATTGCAGGGATTTGTGCTAAAGAACACATATGTAGAATAATATTATGGTCTTGATTAATTATTCTCCATTATCAAAATATTAGCTACGGTATAAGTTTATTTGAAATACAAATTAAATTGTTTATGAAATATTGTGACAATAACACGACATGGGGTCTAAAGACAAGGAATGGAGAAATATGATGGCTGAAACAATATCGTTATCTTTCATATTATTGATTCTAAGTTCATAACCAAAAATATAGAAAGTATATGCTAGTTATTTTGATACGTTAACTGAGCTATAGATTAATGAACATGTTGGTCATTTACATTGATAACGTAACATTGATAACGATAAGCAATTTGATTGGTCGAGACTCTCCTTCTAATTGAGGTAGAATGTTCATTATGTGAATGGCTTGATGCAGTTCGATGATGAACATTGTCTGCTTATGGTAAGCAAAGATAAGCAATCTGATTGGTTGATGCTTTGGGGCACGATAACTTTGGTTATAATGAAGTGAGAGCAGTGAAACTCTGAATATAGATTCATTATATTATTACCTTGACTAAGTTCGATGGTGAGAATTTTCTGCTCAGGCTAAGGAGCGATAAGCAATTTGATTGGTCAAGACTTTGGAACATAACAACTCTGCTTTTAATTGAGGTAGAATGTTTAAACTTGATGTAGATGTTCATTAAGTGAATGTCTTGACTGAGTTCAATGATTAACATTTCCAGATGAAGCTAAACAGAGCTAATCAATTTCATTGGTCGATGCTTTGGGACAAGATAATCTTGATTCTATCTGATAGAGAGTGATTAAACCTAGTGTATAGTTTGATTGCTCGATACTTTTGAAAAAAATATATGTGCGGTTAATTAATATGTGTCATCTGTTTATTTTGGGATTTCGGCGGGGGACATCAGCCTCACTGTTGGCTTGTTTTCCCTTAGACCTTTCCATTGACATCTCTATTTCCACTTTGTGAAACAGTGATCTGGGCATATATGACAACTATAATTGGTACTCATATTAATATATGTTTTATACTTGTATATTGTAGAGATATTACAACAGTTAGATGAAGATGAACAAAGTGTAACAGGAAGTACATTTGAGTTAATTCGTCCTGATACAGGACGTAGATCTACAGGCTTTCCTGATGTTTCTATAGCTTAATATCCACACTCATTATATTTACATATTCTCATAGAGAATTGTCTTAATAAATAAGGTTTAAATTTCTTTGTATTTTTAGATACTAATTAATAGTTTTAACACCATGATTATATATATATATATATATATATATTACTTTGCTTACAGTTCACCTATTTCTTTTTCTATATGTAACTTATATCTTATCCGATTTATGTCATTTTGAATGTTTAAGTTGATAATAATATTAGTAAAGTGAAAAATAAGGTTTCCAGTGTCTATATATTGAGCTTGTGACCCGACACAAGTTTTCTGAACGAAAATTTGTATAAAGATAATGAATTTCTTTAATCAATGATTAAGCTATTTTGTGTGTTATGTTTATAAACAGTAGTAGTAATTATCTTGATTATGTCATTATACTTTGTACATAATCCCAGATTGTCATGTTTATAGGAGAGCCTAACTTCAACTAACAAACATTTGAATAATTAGGACACTGGGAGTTAGGTATATAAATTCCATGACATTTTTATATGCCGATATTTACATTTTTTAAAAAAATAAAGGTTTTCTTCTTCTTGTAATATTGGATTGCCTTTAATCAGAGATAGATATAACAATGAACATAGGGCCTCAAGAGTCATTTGTTACTAGTGTCACTGTACAATTGTGCCCAGGAACATAAATAACTCAGCTCAACACAGACAAATGACTTATTGAACAAGTCTCATTTTTCATATAAATCATATTTGTAATTTATAAGACAAGATTTATTGTATATGTAATGTATAAAGAATTGTGTTTAAAGTGCTATACTATTTACTTTTTTTCAGTTTTTGTGAGATTCTTTTTAAATTAGTTTAGAGGTTTATATTTCTATTTTACTTGCACATATTGTAATTTTCCTACAGTGATGATATAGGTTTTTTTCTAAGATCCAATATTTCTATGAATATAATTGATTTTCCTCTGTGAATCCAAAGAATGGACTATACTTAATTGAGTAGCCTGAAATTGTGTTTTTTTGTCAGGCCCATAAACAGTTGAAACATTTTCCTTGTGCTTCATAAGCGTGACAATAGGCCTACTACTTTTCAACATCAGGTTATTTGAACTGTGACAGAACTTGATTCTTTATCATTCGATTGCTCAGAGTCAAACAAATTGATCGCTCCAGTAGGGTTTCATCCCATTCAGATTATGATAGCTCAAAGAATAAAGAGATATTAGAGATATTATTACATTAAATGTATGCACATCATAATTCTGTGATAAATGTCTTTCACGTGAATAATATATTGTGTTCCTAATAGAATTGGTCTGTGATGTTCTACATTTTAATATTATACTTGTAAATTTTTAATAAATGTATTTTTTTTTTAAAATAAACTCTTTGGGTTTTTTTTTTTAAAAGTATGGTCATTCTTATCTCTTACATAGACTTTAGGGGGGGGGGGGGATTTAACGCGTGCGTATGAACTCATAAGGTCCGTCATTGAGTCAAGTGCCATGGTTATGAATCCCCGCTAGTCTGTGACAAGGAGTTGGGTCACCTCTCCAACCTGGAGGGTTTTCTACGAGTCCTCCAACCGCTTAAGAGTCCAACTGGTAAGCAAATTATTTAAATAAAATTGAACCATGTTAGTCCCGAAATGACCCAGTTTGTGTCGAGTGGATGTTAAACCTCAGTTCTCAGTCTCTCTTACATAGACTATGATGTGGGTGCAGTTCTATGGACTTTAAGAATACATGTAGCAGCTTTTTAACCCCATGCATGATTTTATACCCACTTTATCTTATAAGGATGTGAAAAAATGTGGGAATGGTATGTTAGTTAGAGTAGACATTCAAAAGGAAAGATTAAAATTATTTATAAGACAGGTTACGGCCAGGCAACGAAACATACGCCCACAGCAGCTAAGTCATCCGGGTAGTCAGCAAAGGTTGTTGCATATTTTTATACATCCACATTCATAATGTGGACCAAATATTGACGTCACCTATGTCTGTGTGTGTGTGTCGACTACAAGCCACAATTATTCTTAAGTGATCATCTTGAAACTTTACATACTTATTCCTTATACCCTAAGGATGATCCCTATGGTTTTCTTGTATTTATTTGTTTGTTATTTACAGACCACATTTCTTAACGTATCGCCTTGAAACTTTGCATTCTTATTCCTACCATCGTCAGGAACATCCCTATTGTAAGAAATCTTGTGATTGTTCAAAGACCGATCTCTATTCAACAATCCTTTGTTTTTCGAGGCCAGCTTAGTATGGTAGCATAAATATGGAATCTGGTCTACTGTTTGTTATATGAATTCTTTCAAATTCAAGTGTTATAAAAAAACAAAGATAGGTTGCCAGGCAACAAAACATACACCTTCAGCAGCTAAGTCTACAGGCACTTGAAGGGATTAAAATCAAATTTCTTACTACTGTTTGACTATAATATATAGTCAAACAGTAGTAAGGAATTTTATTTTAATTCCTTCAAGTGCCTGTGGCCAAGTCGTCTGGGGAGTCAACAAGGATTATCGCATATTTTTTTTTTCTTTTGTCAGAAATGAAAACATTTACAACACAAAAAATCTGATTACGAGTTAACAACCCATTTGGCTTCTAGTTCTGCCCTATTCTAACATTTAGCATACAAAACATTTAATATCAATTGCCATAATCATTGGAAATCGTTCTAAATTGATAGGCTTCTTCGTCTTATGACCTTAAACACTGTATTAAATATAAAGTCAATCGGATATCAACTGTAGCCTCTAAAGCGTCCACAAGATTTTTGAAAGTGATCAAGGGCCATAACTATGGCAGTATATCGGAAATTGTTGAAAATCAATAGGCTTCTTCGTCTCATGACCTTAAACACTGTGTCGATCGATATTGACTTTAGCCTCTGAAGTGTCCACAAGATTTTTCAAAGTTATCAAGGGCCATAATTCTTGCAGTAATTATCAGAAAATGTTGAAAATCAACAGGATTCTTCATCTCTGTGTATAAATTTAAAGTCAATTAGATATTAACTTTACCATCTAGAGTAGGCTAGTAGAGGTATATATTTCTCGACGTCAATCCGGTTCTTTTCAGCCATCATCGTTCTAAATTTTGTGAACCGCAAGCGAGCTAGTCCGCCGTCTCCGGTATGACCGTAAATGTGTCCAAAGAGGGCTTTTCCAGCTTTACCAACAGAATCCGGTGAATTGTTCAATTTAGATATTATCTTAGCTCTATCAGTTGGGGGCATACGCTCAACGTCAATCCGGTTCTTTACATTGCGTAAAGTGCTGTGAAAGTGACGCCTAAACTACGCTAAAAATGAACAACCGGTAACGGTAGTAGCGAATGACACAGACATTTTAGTTCTGCTATTCCATCATTGGAGTGAGAATATGCACGATATTTATCTCAGGCGAGAAACATCGAAGAAAGGGACAGTAGTCCGGGTGTTCAGCATAGGCGGTGTTTGTGCAACCCTGGATCGTACGCTGAAAGACAATATTCTTTTCGCCCATGCCTGGCCAGGCAGCGACACGACGTCGCAGTGTTATGGGCAAGGAAAGAATTCAATAATAAAATATCTGTGCGACAAAGGCGTGCAAGGTTGGGCTAAGATAATATCTAAATTGAACAGTTCACCGGATTCTGTTGGTAAAGCTGGTAGTGCCCTCTTTGGACACATTTACGGTCACACCGGAGACGGCGGACTAGCTCGCTTGCGGTTCACAAAATTTAGAACGATGATGGCTGAAAAGAACCGGATTGACGTCGAGCGTATGCCTCCAACTGATAGAGCGGCACACTTCCACGCACTAAGAGTACATTTTCAAATAGTCGTATGGGCAAAATTGGACGAATCTGCATTGGATCCAACCGAATGGGGATGGGAGAATGACAGTGGATCTTATGCGCCAGTCCGAACGGACTTGCCACCAGCTCCCGACCCGGTACTCAACTTTTTGAGGTGTAAATGCAAGTCGATCCGGAACCAATGCGGCACAAATATGTGCACGTGCCGTAAAAATGGTCTCAAATGTTTTGATGTATGTGGCGGTTGCTGCGGAGAGAACTGCACGAATGTGGAAGAAGTTGATCTGGATGACGATGGGGACTAATCGGTGAATCACGAATATTATTTTCCCGGATTTAATACCGTGTTAAATGAGTTTTTACTATGTTAATCGTACTCAGATGATATATAAACCTGTGGATAGACATATTACAAGATATATTTAACTTGAAATTGATAACTTATGAGATTTTGGCCGCCATCTTGGATTTCAATGATGACGTCATATGATTTCTGATTTTATTATCACCAAATATTATTCTCTGATCGTTTTGTGAATTGTGTGGGAGATTTTACCATGATAATTCGTCAGAAAATGTCGAAAATCTATTCATACCGAAATTATCACTCTTTTTATGTGATCATCGAAGGCCAAAATTTCAACCGGCCACAAATTTTTTTCCCCAAAACTGATTGACGGGGGGAATTTTTCTGGAATACTACACCCCATACTGGTTCAGAATATATAACAAACATTCATTCCGCATTTAATTCCCAAGAACTGGGAATCCACTCGTTCCACTATTAGGCTAGAGCGTCCACAAGATATTTCAAAGTGATCAAGGGCCATAACTCTGGCAGTAATATCGGAAATCGTTAAAAATCAATAGGGTTTTTCGTCTTATGACCTTAAGAATGAGTTTGCGAGAGAACCATGCAAAATTTTAAAAAACGGCACAAGCGTTGTCGGGCCATTTTGACCAAACTTTGCAGATTTGCTTATCATCAAAGAAAGTTTAATTAAGACATGCCATCAAGGTAAGGTTACATAATCACATAGACCAAGAACTCCAGGGATGTCGATAGCGAACAGGTGTCAAGTTGGCAGGAAGCGTCTATAACATCAGATAATCTGTGATTATGTAACATACCTTCCCTTTTTTTTTTGAATAAAGTTATGAATTATATGAAATAACTTTTTAAGACCATTACAAAATTAAATATAAATGGAGTCTATGGTAACTACCCTAATTAATATATAAACAAAAATACGATAAATAACAATACGCCGATTAAAAGTTAAATAAACAAAAAAAAAAATGCAAATTGCAAAAGAATAAAACACTGGTTGAAAAGTAATAAGATACTGGTTGAAAAGTCCATACATATATACTACAGTGTTCATACACACGAGACATTGAAATCACATAATTATGTCGCAGATAATTTTACTGTTCACACACACGAGTTAATGAAATTACATATATACATATATGTCACAGACGACTATTTTAACATCCACACACGCGAGTGATTTGAATCACTAATAATTATAAAAACAAACACTGTAAAACTATTCTAATGTTCGCACACACCCGAGAAGCGAGAAAGACAATCCTTGAAACTATTCTAATGTTCGCACACAATCACTAATAATTATAAAAAAAAACACTGTAAAACTTTTCTAATGTTCGCACACATCCGTGAAGCGCAAAATACAATCCTTGAAACTATTCTAATGTTCGCACACAATCACTAATAATTATAAAAAAAACACTGTAAAACTATTCTTATGTTCGCACACACCCGAGAAGCGCGAAATACAATCCTTGAAGCCAACGGTAGGGAGATACAAATTCATTTTTTTCTTCTTCCTTTATTCCGTCGTCTTCTTGTATAAGTTTTCCGTAATAGCAAGGGGTCAGTGTTTTCCGGTAGTCTTATCTTTTCCATACCGCCTGTCCGGAATGGTGCGTTAAATGACATGTGCTATGTAATAACTGCAACCCGTGCCCAAGTTTTATCATCTGTTTATGATGGAGTGAACTTAATTAATAGTTAATCAAATTAGCAAGTGGAACAGACTTAAATTAGCTATCTAACGATATTTACATTATTATTTACATGGATAGAATTGAAATTAGGATGTCATATTGTTTTATCTGAACACATTTTACCAATCTTCAATAAGATATTTTGAAAGAACTTGTCAAAATTAATAATGGTTTATCTCTATAATTTTTAAACACAAAACAAGACAATACGTTCGCTCTTAATTCTAAGCACGACCCTCTCCTGGGGTTAAACCAATCCCACCTGACTGGGGTTTCACATAAAGCTTTTCCCGTAACATATCGGGTCATCCCAATTTCATAGTATTGAGGTATCAAAAAATAAAAAAAATCTCTCCCGTACATATCGGGTCATCCCATTAATATTTGGGGTATCACAAATAAAATTCTCTCCCGTAAATATCGGGGCATCCCATTAACATTTGGGGTAATATACACGTACAGACAAAACAAAAACAAAAAAACCTTAGAGATAAACGCGTTAATACTGTGTGAATGTTATTGGGTTAAATTTC